AAAACAACCCTATATAGAAGTAATCAAATGTGCGCGCATGTCTCGTACTTTATTTCATTAGTCTGAAAATAGAAGCATAATATACTAAATTCATGGAGTGCAGATCGAGAGTCTTCAGACGATACAGTGATTTCAAGGTTCCAACACCAGGTAAAATAACAAGCCTACTGCATCGATATTTATTTCGATCGAGTATACAACTACAACAAAGCTATTTATTTCCAACTCTCCAGAAGTTGGAAATCTCATACCTCATACTACATTCACCAAACAAGACATTTCCTCCAGACCTGCCGGAACAGCCATCTTTCAGGAGCTTGACGGCGTTGGCATAACAGTCGCTGCAATCGGCCGCAGCATCCCTGCTACAACAGTAATAGGCGTATACAGGAGGAACGGTATCTGTTTCGACACAACCCACCCCGTTCCCATTGTTGAAATAATTACTAGCCCCAAGTGAATCGAGCACCTTAGCTTGGAATTCCGCCGCGTTTCCCACGTCGAACGCCTCTAGGCTGCAGAACCCGTTGCTGTCGCTTCCACGGCATAAGCCCAGTTCATCGTTGGAGGTGCACAAAAACGTGTTCACGTCGGAGCTGCCTAGCCCACAACAGTAACACATGGTGATGATCAGTACCTGCAAAACTACAACTGCAGCTGATGTTAACGATGACCGAGACATTATATAATATCACGACGACGACAGTACTGTTTATTAATATATTGCGGTGGATTGGATGTGTTCGATGAATGAGCAGATAGAACGAGACTTCTTGTGCTTTATATATAGACATCACCACTAGGCACTATAAAGCTTTTTGCCGGCAGATGCTCAAGTGGAGAATTCTGGTCCGGCCATAGTCTTTCGCGTTCCAGATTCTGGTCCGGCCATATTCTTTCCCGAGTTTCCAGATTCTGTGGCGGCCGGCCTCCGTGCATGCATGAGACAACTAACTATTTTATCACCACTTGTTTCCTTATTAATTGAAAAGTAGGAGACAGAACAATGGCGTCTCTATGGATTTAATATGAAAGTAAAATATCATCACATAACCACATACATATCCCATAGAAAATTAAATGGTTTTTTTTTATATAAAAGTAAAGTATATGTAGAGGTGGTCATCGTTCACATTATGTGATTCGATTTGTAAGCTCAAACATTGGTAAACATTTATTTGTAACATTTATACAGTACTAGCAAAAGCCCGCTCGCTATCGCTTTGCGTATCACAAAGATAAATATTTTTAAAAATAATAATTTTAATGTTGACCAAAAAGTGAAAATCATCTTATTTCATTGCTAATCATTCTTTTCATAGGTTTCTTATTTACAATAGCATATGGTCGATGAACTTGCATAAGGTAGAGGGGTCGTCGAATAGATTATTAATTTTTAAACTTCTTTCGTGACGCTAATGTTTCAATTTGTATGACTTTTTTTTTACTTTGAAGTAATCGTGGTTCTCCTTTATGAAATTTTTGGACTGATTGCTGGTTTGAGGAGGTTCAACTCGCATTGATCGGGTCAAATTAGGTTAGATACCCATGGATTTGGGTTCAATTGTCTTTCTCAAACAAAAGGAAAAAGTGAAATGAAAAACACTAAAGCTAAAACTCGCTATCGACTCAAAACTCATCAACACCAGGTTCAACTCGCTTTGATTTGGTAGGACCGAGTTTTGGATAAACTCACACCTGACACAACACGACAATTACAAAAACTAATAAAACTCGCTCCCGCCGAAAACCTGTAAAATCGGGTTCAAGCCGCTTTGGTCGGGTAGAATTAAGTTGTATACCCATGCGTTTGAACTCAATTGTCATTCTCAACCAAAAGGGAAAAGATAAAAAAATAAATACTAAAGCGGATAAAACTCGTTCATGACCCCAAACTCTCAACACTGCGTTCCACTCTCATTGACCGGGTCAACTCAGTTTTAACAAATTCACAATTTACCCAACCTGTCAATAACAAAAGTGGATAAAACTCGCTCTCGATACAAAACGTGTCAACGATGGGTCAGAGTTCAATTGCCATTATCAACGAAAAGGAAAATGAGAAATAAAAAAATTAAAGTGTACAAAACTCGCTTTCGATCTAAAACTGGTCAGCAACGTGTTCAACTCGCATTGAATAATTTTTTAACAAATTAACAGTCGGTCCAACCTGCCAACTACAAAAGCGGAGAAAGCTCACTCACAATACAACACTCATAAAAAACTTAGATTCAGGTTCAATTGTTTTCCCAACCAAAAGAAGAAGAAAAAGAAATTTACAAATGATAAAGTCGGTTTTAAGTCGCTTTGACTGGATCGAATTAGGTTTGATACCCATGAATTTGGGTTCAATTGTGATCATGCTCAATAAAAAGGAAAAAAGAATGAAAAACACTAAAGAAGATGAAACTCGGTCCTGATACAAAACTCGTGGTAACGGCCTTGGGAAACGATGGTGGAGAATAACTTAGGATTCCGCCGATAGCATTTCGAGATGGGCTGCAAAATGGTGGGCAAATGCGAGTATTTGTGCAAAAAGGCATAGACGAAAACCTAAAGAACAATAACAAAACACTAAAGAGGATGAAACTCGGTCCAGATACAAAACTCGTGGTAGCGGCCTTGGGAAACGATGATGGGGAACAACTTAGGATTTCGTCGACAGTATTTTGAGATGGACTGTAAAATGATGGGCAAAGGCAATAATTTGTGTTCAAGTTAGGATACCCATGTGTTTGGGTTCAATTGTGATCATGCTCAACAAAAAGGGGGGAAATAAAGAAAAAAACACTAAAGAGGATTAAACTCGGGCCCGATACAAAAATCGTGGTAGCGGCCTTTGAAAATGGTGGTGGGGAACAACTTAGGATTCCGTCGACAGTATTTCGAGATGGGCTGCAAAATGGTGGGCAAATGCGAGGATTTGTGCAAAAAGCCATAGATGAAAACCTAGCGGACAATAACTAAACACAAAAGCGACGATTGTGCAAAAAACCATATACAAACCCCTAATGAACAATAACAAAACACAAAGGCGATGATTTGTGCAAAACCCATAGACGAAAACCTAGCAAACAATAACTAAACACAAAAGGTTGTAGAATGGAGAGTGGGGTAAAAGAAAGAATTTGAACTTTCTCACTTGCACTTGGAGGAGTGTGAGAGCCACTAATGAATAGTAACTCAAACCTAGGCTTTTATATATTAATTAATTATTAAGATGTAAAAATGATTTCATAATCATTAAAAACGAGTGTATGTTATGAACTCAAATTCAGCGTGTATCATATATGCCTAATCTATATGTCTTTTAATGATTGGCATCTCCCCTGATAGGGACGGAATGACTTTCAGGACTTATTGTTACCACACCCCCGATTAAGGCTTTCCACCCTCGTGGTGGAGCTCCATCTATGTCTTTTAAAGTAATTGATTGATAAATACGTAAACTGAGAAAAATGAGATTAGAGTTCAAATCTATCTTTAACATATTATTCCTCCATAATTAATTTTCTTCTAACAACTCAAATTACTGAGACCATTTGATTTATAACATGATACCAAAGTTAAATTAACCAAATGGTCATTTGTTTGAATCTCCATAATATCCTCATTATACCGTTGATTAAAGACCAAAATATGTAAGTCATGTGCATGATTTGATTTTCGTTTGAACTCTAATATATTCTCATAGGTCCTTTCCTTTTCTTTCATAGAGTTTTTGTGAGAGTGTGCCCCTTTTGTGAGGGAAGAAAAAGAGAGGAAGCATTTTTTTTTCTTGGACATTTAATGGCCTTTATATGGGCTGGAGTTAAGATGTTTTATTTTGATTTGTGCATGTCTTGACTTATAGTTGATTCTTTATTTTTTATTGGTTCATTTGTTTTGTGGATCAGAAAATGGAAATTTTGATAAATTTTAAGTTTTGAAAAACCATGGATATATGAGAGTTATGAGTTCATTATGGACTTGAAAACACTATTGCTCGTTTAATAGATTTCTTGATGGGTTGGTTAATTAGATATGTTTATATGAAGTGAAATCGACATTTATTGCCCTCATTAGTAAAGAAAAGAAATAAGAGGAATAAGTTGGTCACAAATGATGAACTTCATAGTCGATGATCAATTCTCACCAAGAAATGTTAGATTTTTGAATCTATGGATCCCACAAATTGGATATCCAAAGCAGACAAGAAAATTTAGACAAATGATAAATCTAAATCCAAATCCATAGCCAAATACCAACCAACAAGTTTGTGTACATGGTCCAAAGATCGTTTGTTTACTGTCCTTTGTAGAGCACCTCATTCGTTAGGATCATCGTGGATATATAGCGTTGTTGGCATCTCCAACAACCAATCTTCGAAAAGGAGCCACATTCTAACACTTGTGGCGGAGCAACAGACAAACAAATGAAGCAAATGCAAGCGTAATTCCACCAAAAGTCATCAATTCCATGTTGCAGCACGCAGTCGGCAGGTGCACAAATAGGCAGAGAACGAGGAGGAGACGTGATGAATCTCTTCTCTAGATTTCACGGTCATTTACATCTTGCAATGGACCCTGTTATTTCTATATCAAATCTCATACTCAAATCCTCAGAAGTCAAGTAAAACGAATCACAAAGAAACAATGGCGTCCAAATCCACTGCACCCGCACTGCAACTTTCAGAACTCTGCAAGGTAACTCCGACCACCGACTCGCCGAAATCCACCACACAATTCACCCTCCCGCTAACTTATCTTGACACCACCTGGTTCAGATTCCCACCAGTCGAGTTGATCTACTTCTACAAACCCACCGCTTCCCCAATCCCTCTCCATTCCTTCTACTCCCTCTTCTCCCCAAACTCAAGCACTCTCTCTCTCTCTGAAACACTCGCCCAATTCCTCCCCCTCGCCGGCCAACGCTGATGGTCAACCCAATCTCCAACCCCCGTCATAATATACAGTCCAGGAGACGCAGTCTTCATCAAGATAGCCGAATCAACAGCCGAGTTGGATCGATTGGCCAGAGACACACCTCGTGAAGCCGCCGAATCGCTGTCGTATGTGCCTCAATTAGAAGTCTCCGAGACGACGACCTCCGTCATATCTCTCCATATCACTTACTTCCGGAATAGAGGATTCCCTGTAGCGATAACCCTCAATCACGCGGTTCTCAAAGGGAAGACCACCGCCATGTTTCTCAGAGCTTGGGCTTCGATCTGCAAGCACGGAGAGAATCATCGGCTCCCGAAGGAGCTCACCCCGTCATTCGATCGAACCAAGGTAGATTATCCATAGGATCTCGCTTCCGCCTACTTGAATCGGTGGAATGAAATCATTGCCCGACAGTCGATTATTAGTAACCCTCTTAGGAAGGAGAATGTGAAGAGAGGAGAGGGGAGGGGAGGGAGGTTTGGGCTGGCGAGGGCGGAAGGAGGGGAGTGTAGGGTGAAAGGGTTTGTGTTATTGAACATGAAGTTGGTGAAGATGCAGAAAAGGGATTCTGATGATTGATTAATAAGAAAGGGACACAGGGAACCAAGAGAGTCGTCAACCACGGGAGGGAATTCACGCTAATTGTCGAAGTCAGCTCGGCGGTGGAGATCGACATATTCGTCGACCATAGCGCTGTCGGCGCCGGCGAGCGGTTGTATCGGCTCTACTCTGGGTCGACCCGGCATGCCCGTTCTCGACCCGTACGGTCTGGACCTGGACCGCCCGACATGGAATTAGGGATGCAAGGTCCACCTAGATCTCAGATCGCTTGACTACGAAAGAACGCTAAGCGTGGAGATGGAGCGGGTCGGTCGGAGGCCAGGTGGCGACCAGACAAGGACGTCGCATGGCGGCAAGATCGTTGGGAGGGCGAAGGTGCGGCTGTCGAAAGGGGAGGGGGAGGAGAAGAGAGGGAGGTTTGGGATGGTGAGGGCAGAAGGAGGGGAGTGTAGGGCATAAGGGGTTGTGTTCTTGAACATGAAGTTGGTAAAGAGGAAGAAAAGGGGTTTTGATGATTGATTAATAAGAAAGGGACATAGGGAACCAAGATAGTCGTCAACCACGGGAGGAAATTCGTGCTAATCATCGATGTTATCTCGGCGGCGTAGATCGACAAGTTCGCCGACCATAATGACATCAGCGCTCACTAGCGATTGTATTGTCTCCACTTGTGGGTCGATCCGGCGTGCTCGTTCTCGACCTGGACGATCTGGACCTGGACCGACCCGACTTTGAAGCAGGGATGCAAGGTCTCCGTGGAGCTCAGGTCGTTTGACTACGACGGAACGCTAAGTGTGAAGGTGGAGCGGGTCAGGCGGAGGCAGGGTGGGGCCTTGCAGGTCGCACGACGGCGCAATCGTCAGGAGGGCGAAGGTAGGGGAGGAGAAGGGAGGGAGTTTTGGGCTGGTGAGGGCGGGACGAGGGTAGTGTAGGGCGGAAGAGTTTGTGTTCTTGAACATGAAGTTAGTGAAGAGGCAGAAAAGGGGTTTTGATGATTGATTAATAAGAAATGGACACAGGGAACTGAGAGAGTCATCAACTACGGGAGGAAAGTCACGCTAATCATCGATGTCATCTCCGCCAGATTCACCTTCGCCAACCATTGCGATGTTGGTGCAAACAAGCGGCTATACCAACTCCACCTGTGGGTCGACCCGGCGTCCCCGTTCACAATCCAGACTGTCTTGACCTGGACCGGCCCGACTTGGAAGCAGGGATGCAAGATCCCCGTGGAACTCGGGTCGCTTCACTATGATGGGACGCTAAGCGTGGAAGTGGAGTGGGTCGGACGAAGGCTGGGTGGCGACCGGCCGAGGACGTCATCGGAAGGGCGAAGGTGCGGCTACCAAAGGTGGGGGAGGAGAAGGGAGGGAGGTTTGGGCTGGTGAGGGTGGAAGGAGGAGAGTGCAGGGTGGAAGGGTTTGTGTTCTTGAACATGAAGTTGGTGAAGAGGCATAAAATGCGTTTTGATGATTGATTAATAATAAAGGGACATAGGGAACGAGAGAGTCGTCAACCACTGGAGGGAATTCACGCTAATTGTCGACGTCAGCTTGGTGGTGGAGATCGACACGTTCGCCGACCACAGCGACGACGAGCGGTTGTACCGGCTCTACCTGTGGGTCGACCCGGCGTGCCCGTACTCGACCCGGATGGTCTGCACCTGGACTGGCCCGACTTGGAAGCAGGGATGCAAGGTCCCCGTGGAGCTCGGGTGGCTTGATTACGACGGGATGCTAAGCGTGGAGGTGGAGCGGGTTGGGCGGAGGCCGGGTGGAGATCGGCCGGGGACGCTGCACGGTGATGCGATCATCGGGAGGGCGAAGGTGGGGGGAGGATAAGGGAGGGAGTTTCGGGCTGGTGAGGGCGGAAGGAGGGGAGTGTAGGGCGGAAGGGTTTTTGTTCTTGAACATGAAGTTAGTGAAGAGTCAGAAAAGGGGTTTTGATGATTGGTTAATAAGAAAGGGACACAGGGAACCGGGAGAGTCGGCAAACATGTCGTCGGCTGAAGGAAGAAACTGAGTGTTTTTTTAGGGTTTCTGGATTAAGAAACCACGCTCTAATACCATACAAGAACCGGTTGATACCAATAACCGATTCTTGTATGGTATTAGAGCCTTTATGACCGTGAGGTCTTCTATTCGATTCCCAAAGAGTCCCACCTTTTTTGTTAAGCACATGGTGTCCGTACCTATGCCTATGCATACTCTAAGCCAATCTGAGTGGCTTGAGTTTGAGGGGGTGTGTTAATAAACGATATATGATTCATGATAGAACCTCTCCCAACAACTCGAGTTATTGGGAGCAACCAGTTCGATTTTATCAAATACATCCATGGGACGTGATGTTGTTGTATCCGTTCATGTAGAACGTGGTGTATAGTAACGTGACCGATGTGATTCTTCCTCTCCCGTTCTCGACTGGTTCGACCCAGTCGAACCCGTGCCAATGGGGGGTGACTGCGGATCTGATCGAGATCGACGTGGGTCATGGGTTCATCTCGACTTGGTCCGATATTAACCGGGCATTCCTCCTGTTGCGAAGGGGCGGGGTCATGTTCGGGCATGACTATTTTCGTAACGCGGTTGGCTTTGGGGTGAGACGGGCGGTAAACTTGTTTGCGAAGATTTATGGGCTTAAGGTCCAAATCGATGGCGAACATTGGGTGATCCGCACCTCTTGACTTTGTTTCATCCAAGTTCATTCCCGATTTTTTGTTTTTATAACAGATGATTGGTATCTCTTATATTTGAATTTAGGGTGCGATAAATTTTATTATCCACGTTATTATGGATTTGGATTCGTAACTTGTTTATTTTATCAAATTGCTTCCATTTGTCCAAGTTAAGGTATATTTATGCATGTAGCGAGATTCATATAATGTGTCAATTACTCGCTTGAAGTCGCTTCTTCACTACGCCGCTAATATGAACTTATTCCAGTGATATTATCACTCGTATTAAATGTGGAGATCGCATTTTCAAATTCTTTAAATAACACTAGGGTTGGGAAAATAGACCAGACCGTTAGAAAAACTATGGTCCAAACTGGACCCACAGTTTGGTTCGGACCGTAGATCGTTAAGTATGTTCTGGTCTAGTCTATGGTCTATATTATTTGATGTTTTGAGCTCTTGGTTTGGTCTGGTCTAGAACTCGGTTTACCGAACGAAACCATGGACCCAGCCGACTTGTCAATACTTGTTAGTAGCCCATTCGACCACAATCCCAGCTCCCACTATGAGACTCATATCTCAACCTTAATTTTGAGAATCTCGTCCCCTCATTCATTCACAACCACATTTCATCAAAGAGTAGAGACAATCGTGTCTCCATACGTCATTATGTATATGTTTATTACGTTATGGTGCTAGTTGAGATGTTTTGACTTTGTATCTTTGTTAAGTACTAAGATTTAGGGTGTCAAAATTATTCATGCATGTTAGAATTTATGTTTTAAGGCAAAAAAAAAATCCTTGGTTATTGGTTCAATTTTTTGTGTAGTGGACTTAACACATTGTTTATTTTCCGTTGAGTGTGGTCTATATGAAACAGACCGTACCGAACCAGACCGTACAGGTGTGGTCTGGACCGTATAATTTGTGGTCTGGTCTGTGCTCTATACTTCAGCCTCTTGATCGCGACGACCGTATATATGATATGGTCTGGACCAGACCGCACCGTTTCTCAACCCTAAATAACACACATAACTATAATAATAAAAATATATCACCTTTGTAAAAGAGATAAATTATCATTACACCCTTAAGCTCAGGGTCCAAGCCCACAACAAACATCTAACTCAAGGGCTATTTGTCGAGCTGCTAGGGTGTCCAATCATGTGGTGTTATGACATATGAGGGTAGTCACAAGTTTTGGAGCATGGAATTCGCTTAGGGTGTCGAATAGAGTATTCTTTTCACAGTGGTCAAAATTATTATCAGCTATTATTACATTATAAATTAGTTCGGTTAGGGTATCAAATAAAGTACCCTTCGACACCGACCAAAATTATTGTGAGCTATTAGATTAGAACATAATTGAAATAATACAATCAAAATTATGAATCTTTAAGGAAATTGTCATTTATATATCATACTTTTCAATATGAAATTGTGTAATCTTTGAAGCCACTATTTTCAAACAAAAGAAATATAAAAATCAATATTAAAACAGTGGATGACCCATTTCATTTGCAATCACAACAAGAAGTAGAAAGGCAACAACAATAACAACAATTTCGGAGAGAAGAAACAAAATGGAGAGGTGGTTACGAGGCCAGAAGCCCGGAACTCGGCCCATACCAGAAATCGTGAGAAGCAAAAAAAAAGCGGGGGATTGGGTTTTATTCCAATGTTTCAATTGCTCCTCTGTGTTTCTTCCCTTTGTAGAAGAACACCAACCAACCAAATCTTCGAATCTGCGATGACCTTCCCAAAGATATATAGCAGATGGATTAGGAATTTTTCACGATGTACGACGTCTAGCAAAGGAAGAACGTTTGGGAATCCTAGCTAAGACTCCAAAATGTTTTGCGGGCGGTGGATAATCTAAACATCGAGATCGATTAAGCAGATGTCAGGGAGGGAATTGATGTTGGAAGAAGGAGAATCTAGATTAATGTGATTCTTTGAACTCGACGCCACAGAGGAAAGTCTAGCGAGTTGGATTACACTGGATTTGGATTGGGATTCAAGGGAGAGAAGGTTGACGACGAGGTCTAAGTCCGCGACGGTGATGATTGTGAGGAGGAGAAGGAGTTTTGGTTGTTCCGAAGAAGAATTTTTTTATATAGTAAATATCCCTTACAATTAATTTAAAAAAGCTCTGTTTTTCTTTTCAACATTAGAGAGCCCACCCGTAGACGACGATTGGACGTTGATTGAGTCTGGCATCTCAATAAAAATAAACTTATGGTAAAACTAATATAACAAAGGTTACATAATTTTCATATCGAAAAATATGGTATGTGAATGGCAAATTCACATACCAAAATCTACATTATTAAACCAAAATTGATGGAAAATCGATTATTTTCTTCTATCAATATCCGTCACATTCTCTACATGGACATCCCCTAGCTAGACCCCGTTTTTCTAATTTGTGAGTCCCATCAACTTCAAGATCGCAACTTCAACATGGACATATGCATACGCGCCCTATCTCCTTTTCCCCATTCTTCACAACCCCGTTGCTGCCATATTCTTCCCTCCAAAGTGCCATATATATCTCCACATACAAACGTACATTCCACAAACCAAGTCGATAACTCAACACACTAAAGATGAAAGATCACGAGATCAAGAGCCTCCACGGCAACAGAAGAGCCCCAAAACGGTCCATCTGCCGCTCCATTTTCACCTCCCCGCTCTTCTACCTCACTCTCGCCCTCCTCGCCTTCTTCGCCGGCTACTACACCGCCACCTCCACCTCCTCCTCCTCCGCCGCCGCCACCACCAACACCATCAACTTCCCCTCACGGCTCGCAGCCACAACCGCCGCCATGACCCTCCCGCCGGAGATCGACAACTTCCGCGTCGCGCCCAACTGCATCGACCCCATCCCCACCGACCTCATCCGCGAAACCCTCCTCACGCGCGTCTACGGCGGCGCGTCCCCCTTCGACAACTTCCCGCCACCCCACGTCGCCAACTCCCTCCGCGACCGCAAACTCAAGGGCTGGGGATCCAAAGGCGCCGTCTTCCGCCACCTCATCGAAGAAGTCCGCCCCAAAATCATCATCGAAGTTGGCACCTTCCTCGGCGCCTCCGCCGTCCACATGGCCACGCTGACACGTCAGCTCGGCCTCGACGACACGCTGATTCTATGCATTGACGACTTCCGTGGGTGGCCAGGGTTTAGGGAACAGTTTCAGTTTATTAACCACATCAACGGCGACGTGATGTTGTTGTATCAGTTCATGCAGAACGTGGTGTATAGTAATGTGACCGATTCGGTCCTGCCCCTCCCGTTCTCGACCGGTTCGACCCTTTCGAGGCTGTGCCAGTGGGGTGTGACCGCGGATCTGATCGAGATCGATGCGGGTCACGAGTTTAACTCGGCTTGGTCCGATATTAACCGGGCGTTCCGGCTGTTGAGACCGGGTGGGGTTATGTTTGGGCATGATTATTTTCGGATGGGGGATAACCGTGGGGTGAGGCGGGCGGTTAATTTGTTTGCTCAGATTTATGGGCTTAGGGTCCAGACCGATGGAGAGCATTGGGTGATCCACACCTCCTGATTTTGGTTCTTCCAAGTTCGAACCGTAATTTTGTTTGTACTGTTCTATATAAGGATGATTTGTGTCCTAATATTTGAATGTAGGGTATGATAGATAATATCATCCCTACGTATTATTGCTTTTGTTATTTGGGTTCTCGTATTTTTTATACCAAATTGCTTCATTTGTCCAAGTTATTATTTGTATGTGATGTTGAGATTCAAATATAGAAAGGTTAATTTTATTTTCCTCTTTTATTTGAACAAAGAAAACTCTTCTTATATGTTCAAACCACATTATCGATCAAACCAACTTTATAGATGGATCATGATGGTGATGCATGCCTCGATCAGGGGAGAGTTCGAGCTTCAAGAAATCATTAATGATCTTATCGATTGCGCGAAATCAATTTGGGTTTGAGTTTCATAAATACTCAAAAAAGAATCATGTTCATGGTAGGTGACACTAACACACAATAAAAGGAGTGTAGATAACATCATTAATTTTAACGTGGAAATGCCAAGTTCAAATTCCAATATGAACACATTCCACAAAACAAAACATTTTCTTTGGTATAGTTTCATCCGAGCCAACGAGATCCGAAAATTATTTCAGCAAAGACACCACTAAACTGATGAAGGTTAGAAGAATTTCCCATCATTAACAAAAAAGAAAAACAATCGCACACAGATAAGGGCAAAATGCATGGATAGCCACTTAAGCATAGTATATGTTGCACGTTCACCAAATAATTTATTTTTATTGCAATTAAATCATGCATATCGAATTTCAGTTGTACCGTCATCATTTTCGTACCCAAACCTAATAGTAGGCACCGAAATGACATTCCACATCAGCACGGCTACTGAGTCATATATATGTGGGCCACAAGTATACTGGGTCTCGTACTGGTAAATAATTTTTCGGGCAACAATTAAATTTGGATCAAATGAATTAGATGTAAGTAAATTAAATTAGTTATATATTTTAGTAGATGCATTGCACCATTGTATTAGTGAATTGGATTCAAATTACTGGCACCAATACTCTATAATATATATCTTGTTAATTTGCTGAGGAAGGCAGGGCATAGCTTGGTCTTGTTATGCTCATTGCTCATTAGTTACAATGTTTATTTGTAAATTGATTTTATTTCTCCTCAATTACACATTAATTATTATTTAATTTCTATATAAAAAATTTATGGTTAGTACAATATATATTTTCTTCAAACCATATTAGAAAAGCGTAAACACTTCAATTATAATTGATTCTTTTATACAAGTACAAATTTTACCCTCTCCATCTCCAATCTCCATTATTGTTTTCCAACCAACCAAATGACTTGGCGAGAGGAAATTGCTGGAATCCAATCATTGTCTTTGTACTAAAATGCGTCACATACTACTCTACATGGACATCCCCATAACTCGTTTTTCTTATTTCTTCCTCCTATCAACTCTTGGATTGCAATTTCAAAATGGAGACATGCATGCGTACGTAGCACCTCCTTTTTTTCCCCATTCTTCCTTATTCCATTGTCGCCGACTCGCCGTACTCATTTTACCTATAACAGTTACGCAATCCATGCCACAATTCCTCATTCCACTCCCCAAAGCAAAACCTCCACGCCGGAGTTCCATACACAACACAGAGAAACATGAAAGACGGAAAGACCCTCCACGGCAGCAACAAACAGCCCGTCAACTCCACAGCAATCTACACACTCCTCATCCTCCTCTCCTTCTACATCGGCTACTTCTACGCCGCCGACGACAACAACAACAACCACCCCGACTCCCAACTACCAACAACAACAACAACTGCCACCACCGCCGCCATGACTCTCCCCGCGGAGCTCGACAACTTCCGAGCCTCGCCCAACTGCGCCGCCAACCCCTTACCCACCCGCCAAATCCGACAAACCCTCATCGACCGCGTCTACGGCGGCACCTCCCCTTTCCACGACTTCCCGCCGCCGCACGTGGCCGGATCCCTCCGCCACAAGAGCCTCAAGGGCTGGGGCTCCACCACGCCCGTGTTCCGCCACCTCATCGAGGAGGTCCGGCCCGAGGTCATCATCGAAGTCGGGACCTTTCTCGGCGCGTCGACCGTCCACATGGCCAAGCTGGCGCGTGAGCTCGGCCTCGACGACACGGTCATCTTGTGCATCGACGACTTCCGCGGGTGGGCCGGGTTCAGGGAGGAGTTCCCCTTTATCAAACAAGTCAACGGCGATGTGATGCTGTTGTATCAGTTCATGCAGAACGCGGTTTATACCAACGTGACCGGTTCGGTCCTGCCGCTCCCGTTCTCGGCCGGTTCGACCCTGTCCGTGTTGTGCGAGTGGGGGGTGACCGCGGACCTGATCGAGATCGATGCGGGTCATGAGTTTACCTCGATTTGGTCCGATCTGAACCGGGCGTACCGGTTGTTGCGACCCGGTGGGGTCATGTTTGGGCATGACTATTTCATGGTGGGGGATAGGCGTTCGGTCAGACGGGCGGTTCATTTGTTCGCCCAGATGTATGGCCATACGGTCCAGATCGATGGCCAGCATTGGGTGCTGCGGACCTCTTGATTTTGTTTCTTCCAACTCAATACTTTGGTTACTTTTACTTGCCTGAATATTTTGTTCATTCTTTTTCTGCCTATGATGAATGCATGGTGATGAGATCGACTCAAATAATAAAAATGGTATATTGTATCCTTTATAGAAGAAATTTCTTCGTTATGGTTACTTTTCTCGACCCGATCTAACATGATTTCCACTACCAACTCAAGAAATGGAAAACTTACCGAGGAAATCGAGATTTTCTGGTACGAGTAGTTTCATCAGTCAGTACAACACATACCACACAGATTACAACACGAAACGACTCATCTGAAACTAACCCTACAGATAAGGAACAGAGAGAAAAGGAAACTACAGCTCTGGTTTAGATTACTTCAAACCCATACCAGACACCAAACAACTTACGCTAGAGAACTACTCTGTCAAACACTAACAAGAAAACCAAGAGGACTTCAGTTCTGGGTTCACAACATCAAAAAGAGAACCACAAGAAACAGATCCTGCTCACTGTATGAATATGCCAACTAATCAAACAACAGAGGGCACATTCATGTTTTATTCAAAACCCAGTTTGGTCATTTCGCCTGCTCGCCACCTTCACCAGCAGCCGGGCTACCCTGGCGATCACCACCGGATGTTCCAGCTTCAGGTGGTGCATCTTGTTTATTTGATCCTGCTGCTGAGGGTGCTGAGGGACCACTGCTTCCCAGATTTGCATCGCCAGCTTGCATGGTATGATGCATGCCATTGTTGACTCCCAAGGGCGGCCTTATTCCCATCTGTTGTGCATGAATCGCTTGTTGGTGGTGTAATTGTTGTGGATGATCCTGCATTTGATGTGGGGGGTTGTTATATTGTAATGGCATATTCCTTGGGGGAAAACCCCCTGGCGACTGCTGAGCCATTGCTGCTTGAGCTTGCGCTTGAGCTTGAGCTTGTGCTTGTGCTTGTGCTTGTGCTTGAGCTTGAGGATGCTGCTGCATGTAAAAGCCTCCTTGTTGCATTGCTGGATGTGGAGACATCTGACCCGAGTGGCAAAATGTTTGAGTTAGAGACGTGGCAATGGGAAAAATAGATATGTAGAGGATCGGAGTTTGTTCAATATACCAACCTGAGGCGGCATGGCAGGTCCCTGTGGCTGGGCATCAGCAATAGCCGCTAGATACATTAGATTCTTCTGCAGTTGTGCTTGGTATCTACATAGTTCAAATCAAGACAAGTAAGAAATCACAGTAAATAGGGAGCACCCAATGCCAATTGAACATACAAAACCAATATCTTAACAATAAATGAAACTTTGGATTCATGAAAATCCAGAGTTCTAATGGCCAATCACCCTATCATATGATGCACAAAACAGTGACGTATCCTGTAAGTTGTCAAAACAAACAGCAACAGTAAAGTACTAGCATCGGACATGTAAGTAAAAGTATCCTTACTAAAAAGTAAAAAGAAACAAAGAAACAACAAACAAGGCTGCATGACTCAAAGACAGACTAATACTTCTGAAATCTTATCCCACCCTAAGAATATGCTTGCTTAAAACAGTGACACACCAACAAACAATCAAGAATGAACAGGGCAATCACATTGGACGAGGAGATGGCAGGAATGTCATGGTGGCAGGAAGCAGTTGTGGTCAGAACAATTATGAAGATGTATGCCACTGCAGATTATGAGTCAATTGCTCTATTCTGGAGTTTGAGATGGAACTCAAAGACATTTCTAGGTTCCAGGTTTCTTGGAGTTCAATTACAATATTAGTGGTTATCTTCAGTTACAGACGGTATACAAGAAGAGTAAAAAAGTCAAGCACACATATGTCAGATGCATTAGCAAATGACTTCTTACTGGGCACATTCAGTCAGCTTGCCGAGGTTTTGATTGTCCAATATTGCTAAGATCAACTTTTTGTTCTCATCAAGAAACTGCATCAAGCATTAAATACAGAATCGAGCGTTAGAAAATCATGCATGCATAAGATTATAGCACAAGCCGTAGATTGTCAAATACAGGGCAAACAAACAAAAAACGACTGGTAACACGTGGAGTCTGCAATCGATTGAAAGATCATAAATAGATGAATTAAACAACTTGCCCTACTTACAATGTTTAGAGCATCAACCTGACAGAAATTCCATGGCAACAAACATTTCAATAGATCCACCAAGACAAGATAACAAGGCGCCATCGCCACGTGTACAAATACCATTTCCTAACATTAACACATCAATAAAGATAGAATACAGCTTAACTTTCCCATACCATGTCAACTCTAACTTAATGCGATGCGTGCGTAAGATGGCCCAAACCTACTAATACACTAATAAGTACTTGCCATATAACTTCAGAAGAATACATTCTAACAAGGCAAACTTGTATGTTGTCTCGGTTTCCTGGTCACAGAAACAGACACGCAACAGCCAACATCGATGACCCAACAAAAAGGTAAAACATAAAAGCCGTAAGAAAAATACCTACAATGGCACTCTTAATCCTCAGAAATTTCCTACATACGCATCATGAAGTGAGCTACATCACCATCTCAGATAATTCCACTAGCAACACTTGACATTGGTAAGTGCCTTGGCAGTGCAATCCCATACCCTCAGACATCATTGAGCAATCAAGTAGATAAAAGTCGATAATCTGAAATGGGCACAGAACTAAGAGCAGAAAACACCAACTTTTCAAGGAACAAGCCCGTTGCTTCCTGATTACGAGCTAATGATTACTACTACTACTACTAGCATCTACAAGCCAGACATCCAATACTTAGACCCAATCATTTCTTCTCAAACGAAAACCGTAAAGCTCTAAACTTTCAGCTTAAAAAAGATAACTCAATCGCAACTACACCCAAGAACAGAGCACATAAATGAACACCATACTACAAAAATATACCTTCTGGATCTGCTCAGTAGTGATGTTGGAAGGCGGAAACGAGGGCATCATGGGCATCATCTGTTGTGGCTGCTGCATCTTTTGTTGCATATGGTCGCTTTGTTCTCCCCGTTTGGCTACCCAAGAACCCTAAAAAGAAAAATCCCTAATTCGAGAAACCCCAGCGCCAAATACCAGGCGGAGAACCGGGCGGCAAACAATCAACGTTACTTTACGATGATCACACGGCTAAACCCACCGACGAGGCCTTCGTTGAAAGCTTGAATGGCGCGTCGTTCCCGTAGAAGACAAAAATGGCAGAGTCGCTACTTCTCCACTACTTCCTCGGCGGTTTCTCGATAAAGAAGGGAAGAGACGCTGTGGAGAAAGGTTGGTTAGGTAGTCTATGTCTTAATTTTTTAGTCTTCTTTGTCTCTTACTGCCGAAAGGCCCGGCCCGTTAGGGCGGGAAATACTTGATATATTATCAAATTAAATTAAACTAATTGTGTTATTAATATTTTTATTATTGTTATTGGGTTGTATTATTAATTTATTATTGTATAAAAAAATTTGATTACAAATAAGGTAGAGGTTGTGCAGATTTGTTATTTAAACATAATTAATTTGTGTTATTAATCTTTTTATTGTTATTGGTTTGTATTATTAATTTATTATTGTATAAAAATGTTGGATTACAAATAAGGTAGAGGTTGTGCTAACACCTCATTTTTTTTAACAAAAGATAATCATATTGATTTATAGAAAAGATCAAGGATTACATCCTAGAACCAACTAAGAGGTCGTTTGAAATTTGTGATTGTTAGAATTGTGTTTGTTAAATACATGTATTATGTACAATACAATGTTTGGAAATGTCAAGTTGTAAAACAATGCATGTATTGTTTTTTGTAGGCCCCACCAACAATCACAAAAAAATTATGCATTATACAATCTCAACTAAAAAGTTGAGATTGTTGAGATTGTTTAGATTGTTCCTTTTAGATTTGTGTCCACTTTTTCTTTCCATTTATATCCCCAATATTTTTTGTTTTATACTAAAAAGTGAGGGTAAATGTGACATTTTTCCTATAAAGTAACTTTATGCAAATCAATACATAAACTAAAATCTCAACAACCAAACAATGTATTGTCAAAATGCATCTATGTATCAATGCATGTATTTATATTGTAGTGATTCATTATAATACAACGATTTAGCATTCACAACTTCCAAACGACCCAGGAGAAACAAAAATAATACAATCGAAATGAAGTCAGAGGCAAATAAAGGGTCTTTCTAGCCACTGAATGAGCTGTCCTATTGCTAATCTGACCCACAAATCGAACATGAACCACTATTCAAAGCCATCATACTCAGAATCTCTTGAATAATTACACCAACACGGTTGTCTTGCGCATCTTCGATATTAATTTTATCAATGAGCACCTTCGCATCACCCTCAAACCGAACTTGAGCAATGCCGAGATCCTAACACCACCGAATAGCTTCACGGAGGACAATAGTCTCTACCACAAGAGGGTCAACAATATTCTCAAAAACTATGCCTCTTGCTAAGACCACAGACCCTCCATCATCCTTTGAGATCAGCCCTCCTGTTGAATGCGAGTCAGCACATACCGCACCATCTCACATGCAGATGATAGAGGGAGAATCTACCTCCCCTAGATTTTGTTGCAAAGGCACCTGATCTTGGAGCAACCTATCCTCTGGTATGGACACCCATTCATGAAGTTACTGATGGTACTGGCGCATCAGCTGAGGAATCAGGAACGGCTTACCTTCGAAGGCAGCCCAGTTTCTATATTTCCAAATATGGCACAGAAGCGCCACCAGAGCCATAATCTGATCCGGTTGGGTCATCATAAGAAAACATTTCTCAAGGAAAAACGGAAAACTCTGGCGCAACCCTGCCCCAGATGCTCTAATCCCGAGTGATTCCAGAGGGCTGCAACGATTGGACACTCCCAAAAGAGGTGTTCCATCGTTTCATATTCCGTCCAATACACCGGGCATTGAGGCAAAATCTGGACCTGTTTCTCAATCAGAGCTTCAGTAGTAGGCAAGATACGGTTGCAAATTTGCCACGGGAATAATTTTAACTTAGGCGGGATCTTAAGCGCCCATATCCGCATCCAACTCTATTTTTTCCATCCAGCTTACTGTGGGTCGCCACTCCATTACCTGTCTATCCACCAAAACCGCAAGGTGATAAGCGGATTAACAGTGAACACCCCTTCACAAGTATCATGCCAAATCAACTTATCCTCTACTCCTCCACGGGGTAAGGGAATTGTCGTGATACAACGAACTACGTCTGAGGGAAACATCTGCAAAAGAGACTGAAGCCTCCAACTCCCCCTCCCCCTCTGGATCAATAAGCTGGGCCACCTTTGGGTCACTCCCTTCCGCGATGGCAAGAGGATTACAATCCGGAGGGCAATGATGGGTACACGGGACCCAACTGGAATGTTGCTTAGACGCCTTAAAACCATTTCCAATTTGCCACCTCAATCCCCGTTGAAGGAGGAGGCGGCCATGAAGAATACTCTGTCATCCACAAGATGGGCGAGATCTCACGGTCGTTGTTAGGAAAGTGCCTGTCGGAAAGTATTTCCTTTATAAATCTGGGATAGGAGGGAATCTGGTTCGTGAAGAATCCTCCATCCAATCTTAGTCAGGAGAGCCTGATTAAAATGCTCGAACCGCCGAAATCTCATCCCCCCATCATGTTTACTTGTGCATAAGTTCCACCAGGAAATCCATTGACCCGAGGACAACACCCTTTAACTCCCCACCAAAATTGGGCCACATGTTTATCTAGAAGGAGACAAAGGGAGAGAGAGAGAGAGAGAGAGAGAGAGAGAGAGAGAGAGTTTGAAATAGGACATAACATGAAGTGGCAGAGAAAAAACAATTGATTTAATCAACGTCTTCTTCGCCGCCCATGAGAGCACCTTCTGTTTCCAACCCTGTAAACGTTCCAACAACTTCTCCTCCAGATAACGAAACATAGTCATCTTGGACTGAGCAACCAAAGTAGGTAAACCCAAATATTTATCATGCACTCCTACCGCTCCTACACCCAGTCTGTGAGCAAGGGATTCTTACTAAAACACACCGCCAATTTAGTCATGTTAACTCATTGCCGACTAAGCTCCTCATATTCATTCAAAACCTCCAACAGATTATCACATTCCTGCATCAACCATATGAGGAAAAGGTATGAATCATCTGCAAAGAAGAGATGGGAGACGCACAGATCTCGTGGACTAACCCAGACACTTGCTAGCTTCTGCTCCTCGATGGCTTTATGGAAGAGTGTCGCAAACCCCTCAGTGCAGATGACAAAGGTGAGGGGAGACAGAGGATCACCGTGTCAGAGTCCCCTCGTCGAATTAAAATATCTAGTCGGAATGCCATTCATCATAACAAAAACCAAAGTGGAGCGCAAACATTCCTCAATCCAACGTATCCAGGTCGACTTAAAACCCATTTTTCCTAAAACCGCAAGTAAGAAGGACCATTCGACTATATTGTAGGCCTTTTTCATATCAACGTTCAGAGTCATATGCCCTTCTTACCCTTAGTTTTTATCTTAAGGTAATGCATCAATTCGTGACCAATAAGAACATTATCCACTATCTGTCTTTCATGAATAAACACATTCTGCCCTGGCGAAATTATCTGGGGGAGAAACAGGGCCAATCGTTCAGACATGATTTTGGCAATGATTTTATAAATGAATTGGCATAAACTTATAGGTCTCAACTGACTCATATTTACCACATTATCCACTTTGGGAATAAGCGTTAACCAGGTGTGATTGAAGCTTCGTAACATCTGCCCTTTCCTAAAGAAGGAACTTACAGCTTCCACCACAGACTCTCCTACGACATCCCAATACGTACGGAAGAAATTCCCAGTGCTAACACCTAGTTTAGCATAATTAATTTGTGTTAATCTTTTTATTGTTATTGGTTTGTATTATTAATTTTTTATTGTATAAAAATGTTTGATTGTAAAAAAGGTAGAGGACTAGAGGTTTTGCTAGTGCCTAATTTTTCAGTATGATGCTAATTTTAATTTTGATGAATATAAACATTTTTGTTTTGATGTCTTTTTAATTTCAATGGGTTTATCATAATCAATGTAAATTTATAAAAGTAAGGGCACACTTGTCATTATTAAAAATCAAGAGGAGCACAAACATTACTTCCATCTCATCAAAAGTATCATAAAGCATACCACAAAACACATATAAGAAAACACAACAAACCACACAAAAAATACCATAAAACAAAATAAAAACTTATAAACCATACTAGAACATTACCACACCATCAAATTCACAAAACATACTAGAAACTTCAAAACATACCACAAGTTTCATAAAATATTTCGGAGACTTCATAAATCATACCTATAAGGAAAATGTAAGGCTCTTTCTTCGACGCCAACGAGACTATAGGTTTAGTTTCATACTCATAAACGACGACATATAATTTGTCTTCAAATCACATCAAGGATATCTCATAAAAAAAATCTCATACAAACGTACAAGACATTTTGGTAAATGTCTAATGAAATGCATTATTTTCTAAAATGATACATTTGAACAAATATCTCATTTCAGAAAAATTCCATCCATCTGACCCAAAGAGGAGAAGTCTATAAAAAAGCTAGGTAACATAAATGAGAAGGGATGGCTTGCCCAGAGCATAAAAAGGTTATTCGTAAAAGATAGAATACGATAAAAATTAGGAACAAATCGATTCGGCTCATCGAAGATCTTAGGAACAATACTCCTTCCAAATCATGCAAAATGTGTAAAGCCTTCAGAATAAACATCACATGCAATCAATCTAATTTACTTTGGCCACTTTGAATTAGGAGAATATCAAACACAATCTTAGGACAAAAAAGACAAAAAAAAAAAAAGACATATGTTCTATTGTCTTAATATCAATAACGGGTAAATTGCAATGTTGGTCACTGGAATTATTAAAAGTTGTCCATTAATATTTGCTTGCGTGGCGGTCAACTTTAAAAGTTGTCCGTTAAATTTGTGACATGACAATATAATATTATAAACTATTGAAAGTAAGAAAAAAAAAGGAATCCTCCTCCGGATTCCTCCCTGCCTCTGTCTGTTTTCTCCGTCGCCGCGTTCTCCGACGTTCTTTCTCACTTTCGACTCTCAATCCGGCTTCCCTGGTTTGACGGTAGTATCCTTCACTCCAGTATCTCCCTCCCCTTACCTACTGCCTCTCTCCGCTGGCCATTGCATCAACGATGGATTTGGACTCTGAACAAGCCACCGATTCCCAAGCTCCGATTCCAAACTCGCTACCACACGACTCGTCGAACTGTACGAGTACATTGTTGTTGATTCTGCCTTTTAAAATTGAAGAAATGATTAAATTCTCCTTCTTTCTATTGACAGCTTCTAATCTTTCATTTCTAGGGTTCTTCTTCCATTCAATTTGGAATAATATGATAATTATTGACCATTGTTTTAACGACCAAACGTGAACGTTTTTAGTAATATTAGTGAGCTTTTCATATATTAGGTCAGATATTAGGGGGAGAATCATCCCACTTATGCTTCTTTTAATGGTTAATGGAGCGGGCTTATGATATTAATACAGGATCGAGCGAAGGTAGCGAGCATGTTAAAAAGTAGAGTTTTTATGGCTACGGGGCAGGATTCGACTAAGCTGAGGACAGGTCGTACCTCCCATACCACTCTTCGAGAAAGGTCGTTTTCCTTCGCCCGCTTTTCGGGAACCTTACAATTTACCCTATCAATAACACTTTCATCAATTTAGTTACAATCGTTGGCTTAGATAACACTTCTTCAGTATCAAAATTACAATAGTAGTTATTATCTGACCATTGTTTTTTTCAATTGCCCACACAATTGTGTGATTTGATACAAGTAGGGATATATAATTACTTATCATCTCTATTTTTCTACTTTTCTCTATTACCCAACCTTTTGTGAAAATTTATTGATACTAAAATCAAATCGGATCGATTTGTATGATTCGTGAAACTGTTAATTAACTATCATATAGTTCAGTTCGAGCGGAGCTAGTCACCTACCAAAAGCCGACTAACAGGTAGTCGATTAAAACGCTACGTGATTGAACCATACAAACCGAGCAATCATACCAAAACACAAAACCAGCCAAATGGAAAAACTCATGTCAGAACAAATAATAGGGTAATTATTGATTTTTGAACCCAACACCTCTTGAACACCAGATTAACTAATCAACAACAATGCCACTATTGATCTGTGCGACAAAATATAACTTAACATGTTATTTATACGCAATATATTAGGTTATACAAAGTTAAATCCACTAGCCGCTTAAAATTTTACAAATAAATGGTTTCTGTTTCCGAAAAGTCACTTGTATAACCATCGGATAATTGTTATTTTTGTAAAATGACAGGTGTCTATTTGTCATACAAAATTTTATAATTATTTTATTGGAATAGATTACTATTATTAACATATCATTGTATTATAAATGGTTCTATATATATATTGGTTATATAAGCGAACCACGAACCACTAAATAGACATTTGGCAAAACATACTTAGTACCAATCTGTATGGTAACATATAGTCATTTTTTGTTAATCAAAGCACTGCCCCCTTAATTAGAAGCCTTGCCCTAATGTCAATGAAATACAAACACAAATCATCAATTTATGCACTTCCTTCCACCATCTGTGTCTTTAACATCTCAGCTGATGAGGACGTACAACGACCAACCATCTTTTCCCTCCATTCTATGCTCTTCCTACTTTTTCAGCAGAGAGAGAGAGAGAGAGAGAGGCAGCCTGCAGCTAGACTTGGTGTTATTGGATCCAGTGCAAAGGGTGACAGTGCTACTAGCTAGAGTCAAGTCTTACTCACCCGGCCCCAATAAATTACCAGTAAAAAAGCAAACAGCTGCTGCTAAAGCCTACACAACAACATTAAAGAAAGGAGACGCGCATCTGTTTTCTTTTTGCATGTTTTGGCTGTCAGCCTTTGTCTGATTTAATAGCAGCAGTAGCTGCTGGATGTATAAATCTATCCATCTATCTACCTTCTGCTACCCTTCATCATCATCGATCGTCAGGGTTCAGCTAAACGTCGTCCACAGACAGAACTGTATCGAAGGAAAAAAAAAAGAGAGGATCAGCTGCTTCCTTTTCTTCCCCCTCTTGATTCACTCACTGCGTCTATAGGGTTGGCCTTCTTTTGTTACGTTGCTGACAGGGTTTCTCTTCTCATGTTTTGGCCGTATCTCTAGTCAAAAGTACTCTCTGCTCTGAAAGTGTATTCCTTTTCTGTGCATCGATCTCCTTGCTAGTGTACAGATATCTTAATATCACTTAGGCAATTAATTAGTTGTGTTTATCAATCATATGTGTTACCCAAATGATCATTGATCAGTTGCGACCGTGATATGCTGTATCAGATCATTAATAGCCTCAGCATATATGTGGATAGCATGGATCGCATGAGACATAGTTAAGGTAAATTCTAGTCATTATGATTGTCGATTCAATTATGTCGACTGATACTCCTCTTATATATGTTCTTCTTCACCATGACCATGGTGAGAGTTCTAAATGAAGAATCTCTTGCCCAGGAACAAATGGCTTTTATTGCCATTTGGAGAAAGGGTCTCCTTAAAAGATGCTTGTACTAGCTAGGGTTTCTCACAACAACAACAATAATGATGATGATGAGGAGGAGGTATGAAACAAAGATCTCTACCACCACTTGGAATTGTAATTTTGACGTTTGCATTTGTTGGTATTTGTTAGAGGTTTCATAAAAAAAAAGAAGGGCTATCTAACCAATTGATGATTGTCAACCCCTTTTCATCTACCCTTCATAGTTCATATGTGTATTCACTACTTCACATTCTCTCTATAATACTATAGTATGATGATGTATGATAACAATACAACATACTCAAACGATCCATAATTAGATGATGACTCACTTATAATGTCTGGATTTGTTCTTTTGGGGAAATTCTCAACTGGGCATAAGAGATGTTTCAAAGAGGAAGTCTTTCCATTCGAGAGTCGGGTTCATTCTAACAAAAGTTCTTATTTATCTCTTCTCACCTCATAGATCAGTTTCGTGTCATTTTGCTTCTCAGAGTTTTAATCAATAGAGTTGCCTACATCGTGACAAAATAGCCTCTTTCATCGGGAGTCCGGTTGCAACTATCTACCATTCTTTATATTTTTGTTGTCCATCCATGTAGTAAGGGCTTGTTTTGGATAAAATAATCACAATTGGAGAATTATGATGATGGAGATACTTAAACCATAGTAACTACTTTCCTTTGATTGATATGTAGGACGAGCTTGTAATTATAAATCCTCAAGAATATGTTTTTAATATAATATAAGTGAAATATTTCATCTTGTTATATACTTTTTTATGACACTAGTTAACATATCTGTTGTACAAATTTCAAAGAAGAACGGTAGATACTTGGACGAACCCCCTACCGTTCTTTATTATAACCATAGTAACTACTTTCCTTTGATTGATATGTAGGATGAGACTTTTTTATGACACTAGTTAACATATATGTTGTACAACAGATATGTTAACTAGTCACCAAATCAATCTATCATGTCATCGGAACAATTAATTCATCAAATTTTCCCACCACAGAGTCCAAGTAGCTCTAACTTGGAGTTTACACAAGTCATTCAAGTTCAAGTTATCGTACATCTGGCTGGAACAAACGATCAAATTGGTCCACCAGAGCCCAAGCATAACTCTTAGTTGGAGTTTATACAAGTCATTCCAGTTCAACTTATCGTACGTTTGGTCTATGCTGATCTTACTATACGTCTGTGGAGTTTCGCTATTTAGATAATGAATTAATTGAAATTTGTACAATAACATTATACTCTAATATTTAATGGACGAACCCCTAATGTTAATTCTTCTAAAAATGTAGTAAGAACACATTCTTAACTGAAATTTGGACAACAACGTTACTCAAACTATACGATAAATTTAGTATACAAATTAATCGTCGATTCTTATTGATCAAAAGGACATCTAATATGTAAGAACGCATGTCTATATTACACATGGTGTATATATGCTAGCCTTTGCCAACTATTACAAGCATTTTTTTAGGAATAAAAAAGAAGATGTAGTGAATATAAACCCCATAGACGAGAGGAGAGGAACATATTTAACCCAATCGAGTCCAATTCAATTAAAATCTCATTGTTGAATGAAAAGGAATTCATCTCAAACTTGGGGGGAAAACACCAACACACGGATATAATTAAGAACACATAAGGGTTCGTTTCTTGAGAGGAAGGGAAAAAAGCTGTAAAACACTGTCTGAACAAATTTAAGACAATTAATTAGCAGATGATGTGACTGTTGAGAATTAACTAATTTGTACCTTTCATCACATAACCAAAAGCCTAGCTAGCCTTCCCCTCATCTTTCGCCGTCACTTGCAGAGCTAGCTAGCTACCTAGCATTCATTGACTTCAATCGGTGGTAGTTATATAGTATAGTACGTCGTCATTTGGGCGAGGGCTGGAACTCCTGGCCACCGCCACGCCGGTCATTGTCCGACGAAGACGGTTGCCGATGATGAGAGTGGGAGAATCTGGAGCTCATCATACTAAGCTCGGTGAGCTGATGAAACGGCATGACCACCGGTGAACAACGGTTGTGATGATGATCTATATTGAAGTACGCCGCCGCCGCCGCGGCGGCACTACTGCTAGTGCTCATCAGCATCTGGTTACTACTCCCGTGGTTCTCCCCCGCCGCCGCAGCAGCTGCTAAATGATGTTGAGGGTAGTAAGTGTTGTTGGATAAGGACAACGGCGCCGCCGACATCTCCATGTTCTCCTTTTGGTGCTGGTGATGATGAAGATGATGAAGTAGTTGTTGGTGATAGTGGTGATGATGAGGATGATCATCTTTTGTTTGGGATAATCCTCCAAACCCTGGATGCCCACTTCCCAAATTGAACATAGTTGTCACGTTGTTCGGATTCTGAGCCTGATTCTGGAGACTGCCATAAGATCCTTGTTGATCATGAACTTCATTAATAATGTCTCGATCACCTTCGTCGTTTTCTTCCTCCTCTTCCATACCATCGTCCCGACGGCTGAAATTTTCAGCCGTCGGGACGATGTTGTTGGTTGGTGGAGTAGCAGTACTGCAGGTGCCAGCACCTGCAATGCTACTCCACCACAGCTGTTGTTGTTGTTGTTGTTGCGAAATCTCGGCCCAATTGATCATCGTGCTGTTGGGGTTGAGGCAGAATTGGGAGGGGGAGATGGGGAGAGGAGGGAGCTCGTCGATCTCGGATTTCGTGGCGTTGAGGAGCCAGTCGACGGCCTTGCTGGGCTGGGTGAGGCCCAGCCTGTCTTGGAGGTCGTACAATTGGATGGCGGTGGGGACGGAGAGCCGAACCCTTCGGTCTCTGAGACCTCGAATGGTGCAGACTTTGCTGTGCCTGTCTTTCCCTCCCAGCGCCTTGCACACCCTCACTACCCGCGGATCTTTCTGCCTCAACCATGTTGTTGTTGTCTTCGTCGTGGTAGCAGAACTATTGTTGTTTGTTGATGATGACCTAATTTCCTTGTTGCTGTGATTCGGAAGAGTGTTGTTGTTGTTGTTCTTCTCATCATCGTTCATCGCAGCCTTCTCTCTCAAACTCCTACTACTACCACCACTAGTAATTAGGAACCGGAGTACAACATCCACAACACACTGAATTCGAACCGATTAAAGATTGAAGAACGAATTTTACGCGAGCAAGTTGAAATGAGAAGAAGAGGGAGAAAAACCTTAGGGGCTTTTCCTGTGGGTGAAATTGCCTTTTCCGGCTAGTTAGCCAGCAAAGAAGATCCAAGAAGAAGAAGGAGGAGGAGGAGGGTTATGGGAGATGGCTAGCTACAAAGGATCAATTGAGGGAAATAGTTGGTGAGCAGGGGAAAGATTTGGTTGAATTTCAGCAAAAAAATGGCTGCAGAGTGAGAATTTGATTTGAGGAAAAGAGGGAGAGAAAGATGCCGGAATCGAACCGACCATCCTCCACGGCCTCCTTATGAAGAAAAAAAAGCAATGGCATCCGTGGTGCCACGTGGACTAGGGTCTTCCCATCCGTGCTAATTGTAGAAATGGTCACTGAAAACTTTTGAAGTGGCTAACAAATTGATTGTTAAACTTTAGTTTCTGACAAATTTGTCATTGGAGTTGCGCAATGAGGATGGCAAACTAAATCCATCGTAGGGGGTATTTACTCAAACTCAGAAATTGTTTACCGTGAAAAGAGAGTACTGAATTTAGATGTAAATTTTGTATTTTATACTACATGGTCTTATACTTTAAACTCGAGATCATTCATACCTCTCAAGAAATTTTGAGACCACGAATTTTAATCATTTCAAACCATTTGATAATAAAGACTGAAGACTCGATGAAATTGTCTCACCCGTCGAATCAATACCCAATTAAAGAGTAATCAACAAATATTGACATTCTCATAAAATCATGTTAAAACATATTGACAATGTAAAATATAACTGTTTAGGTAATGGTGTGCATAGGTTTTCACCGAACCCATACAAGTAAAGATTTGGTATGTCGTATCATATCCCTGTCAACTTTAATCCTAGCTATAAGCGAATGTTTACTAGTACAAAATTGTGGTCGAAGAATTAAATACAAGAAAATCATCTCTACTTGAAATCATTTCCATCCCTAGTATGGAATGGCTAAAATAAAAGTTGTATGATCCTCCTTTATTAGATGGACAAATTAACTCATGTAAATGGATAGTAATTAAAAGGAAATATAGATCATACTTAACCGAAATAGACAATTAGTTTTAACACTTAGTACTCAACGATATTCACGCCCAGATTACATAAAACCACCCTAATTGATCCTTCTACGGACTTGTCACTATGATTATGGTGAGTTTACACACTGTTCAGGTAGCAATATTAAAACAACCGAGATAAAAGTATCTAGTCACTCTATTGTTGTTGTTTTTTATCTTCTTAAATCCAATGACCAATTAGTCAATGATCACAAAATTTAGTGGTGTCCATGCAATTTGAACCCACCCTCTCCCCCATTCCATCCATCTACCTTCTTCTTCTTCTTCTTCGACTACTAGTGAAAGTGGGGACTCCACATTCACATCTTATCATCAAAGTAAAGAAGTACACATTCTCCCTTTGCCCCCTTTGTTATTTTTTTTCTTTCCCCGGCCGGCCTTGTTCAGAGTTCTTTCTTTCACGCATGTTTCAGGCAATCATTGTCCTGTTGCTATCTAGCTGTGGTCTGGTCTGGTCGCCCTTCTCCCTCCGGCCCCTTTTCCCTTGTGTTTACTCCAACTAACGCCAAACCCAATTCCTGTTTTGTCAACAAATCATCAATCGCCCAAATTTGGTGTTTTGTGAAACTTAGCTTTGTCAACTTACATGCGTGAAATAGCCCATCGAGATGGATTGTCGTATGGATAAAGAATAAATGTAGCATGGTTGGGATGGCAATGGGTCGGGTCGGGGACGGATAGTGCATATCCATTACCCTATCCAAAGTAGTTCGGGTTTTACCCATACTCATACCCACATGTGAAACGGGTAGAAAATTAAAACCATGCCCATACCCGTTCGGGTTTCGGGTATCCACGGTTATCCATTGGTAATGATTTCTCTTCATAACTCCAGCCAATATGTTAACATTCACACGTATTCTCACATTAATTAAGAGGAAAAGCATGACAATAATTCACTAGAATGAAGAAAATTAATTAAAACAACACAACTTCATGAAAATATTATATTTATATGCTAAATATAAAACATGTTAGAGAAATATAATAATTATTTATAGACAAAATACATATGTATGTGTATAATCGGGCGGGTTCGGGTTGGATAGTGAGAAACTCATGCCCACCCATTACCCGCAATATTCGGGTTCGGGTTTTACCCGTACCCACTAAATGTCCTTCGGGTTCGGGTTTTGCCCTACCAGTTTAGGCCGGGTTCGGGTGAATATCCATGGTTACGGATATTTTTGTCATCCCTAGTTGATGAAAGCGTTATTCACATTATAATAAAGAGAAGTAATTTGCAAATGGATTCGTAGTCGTTGATAATGTTCTCATGTTTTAGGGAGTATTCTAATCACCGTTCATTATTTAAAGTTGAATCTGACGGTGGCGGGTAATCAAGGGCTAGTTAGGTATTTCAAAAAATAATAAATCAATTAAAATCGAAAATAAATTTTCTCTCTCCGTTTTTATTAGTTATTTTCTACCAAACAATTACTACTAAATTCATTACTACTTAAATTAGTAGTGATTTTGAAGATCTATACCAGTGAATTCGTTATTTATAGTAGTGATTTTGAAGGTGTATAGTAGTGATTTTATTGTTAATAGTAGTGATTTAATGATTTTTTAATTAATAGTAATAGGCGATTTGTAAGTGAGAATCACTGCATACTAATGTTTACAGGTACAAAACACTACCAAAAATCCACTATCACCAATAAGCAAAACTCTACGAATGGTCAACAAATCAATGAACAATCAAAATAACTACCTAAAAATAGCTACCAATACTCATGTAATGGGAAACTTTCCCTGGTGCCGAATAAACCAAAAGGGGCTTCCCCCCTTTCAAACTTCGTCGGCCGTTTTTCCAATTTTATCTGATCAGAAACAAAGATGGAACAGATCCGGAAATTTTTTTCAACCGCAGCCCGTCGATTCCCTCCCTCTCTATCTGCGACGCCATTATCAGATTCGTCCATCCGGGCTCTCTGTCTCGTTCCATTACGGCTGCAATCCTGGTGACGAAGTCCAAGCAGATCTTACCACTTCATCAGATTCGGTCGGCCGTGTCTCGCGACGACATCCATCATAAGATTAGGGTTTAGAGATTTTAATTAAGTAATTGACAGAATAACCTTCAATTAATTATGACTCTTGGATTATTATTTCAATCCAGGGTCTAGAAAGAAAGTTAGCATGGTACTAACCCTCGAAGGAGTTAGTATCCAATCTCATTCCCATGTTTTTGTTCAATGGGTGGTTTGGATCTAACTGTTCATCTCTTGAAATAATTTAATTATGATCATAGTGAACCAGATTACATCATTAGACGAGACAAGTTTGTCACTAATGAACAGAAAAACCGTGCATTAAAAATGACATGCCTGTAAATAATAAATTCAAACGTTACAAGTTTTTCATCGTATCGATACGATGCTCTCTTTTTGGATAGGACCACACATATATCATGTGAGTCGTCACTGCAAAGCGATATGCATGTGGGGGAATAAAACCAAAAAATGGGATAGTTTTCATTGGGATTATCCCCCTTTCGGAGCTAAGGGACTGATGAACAGAACACAAAAATAACGAAATTCTTTGGAGGGCAAAAAGCTAATTAAGGCAGGCGGGGGTGGAAGTCGGCGTCGGTGGTGGGTCTGTCTTCAAAGGAAACGTATTCCAACTTCTTCCTTCTGTTCTTTTTTTTCCCCCCGGCCTTCTTATGTCAGTCGTCGCCGTCGTCGAAAACGAAGTGCACTGTGAGCTTGCTGCTTTATAGCCCAATAATGATAAGAACCGCCAAACTCAATTAATTTCCATGCACGCCGATGATGGAGAAGTCTCTCTGCTGTATTCTATGGTAAGGATTTATGTATGGTTGGTGTATGGTCAGGATTTGGGGAGGCTAAGGTGGTCGGTGTAACGTATACACGTTTACGTCTCTGATCATTGCAAATTTGCTCACATTTCACACATGTTCATGACTAAATCGGTGCCTACTCCAAATGAGAGTTTCATTTTTGTAGACATGATTTTCTGAGAGGTTTTCTATACCGTAAAATGGGACAATCCAAGTATCACACATTGGAAATACAAGTGAAAGAACCTTTGTATATAAGTGTTCACCTATCCTAATTAGTACGAGACCTTTTTGGGAGGACACCCAAGAATAAATTCGTACGAATTTGATCCAATACGGACAATATCGTACTAATTGAGCTCCCCGATTATGACAGTAACTAGTAATACACCCTTGTAAAGGTAAAAGTATAAATAGAGAGGCCAAAGGTCGATCTGAAAACGTTGTCTCCCAACCTACCCCAACTATTATCTTTTTTTTTTTTTTTGTAGGAATTAACTATAACTAATTAAATGCAATTACCTAACCGATGATTCAATAATAACTTTTTTTTATATGACAATCAATAATAATTCTAAATAGGGTAATTCAATAAATTCCATCCACTGTTGGCATGATAATTCACAATTATGGAAATGAAATTTTAATCGATTCAATGTGTGAATACAATTCTCGTACTAACCTAGGACGTGTATGAGAAATATGCACACACGAAAAAGATGGGAACGGTTGAGGAATGAGTTTGGGTGCCTTTTTATCACAATGCCACCATCCCCATGTTCAATTCATACACTGTGTACACTCAGTTACGTGTCATCTTATTTCCCTTTAGTCAATATTAATTCTTTTCACTTTTCCAATTTTATGAATTCCGTAAATGTGTAAGAATTTTTCCAGTATTTATTGTTGTTTGTTGTTAGTTTATAATACGTAATGTTTGTTCAATGTTCGAGTTCTAAAATTGTAAGCGTTTTCAACTTAATCTCATTAAATACAAACCTCCACTCTCGCGTAAAAATGAGGAATGTACTTGTTCAACCATTGAAAATAAGAAAGCAAATCAGTTTATAACAATCCGTCACATCCCAGCTCCCATAATCTCAACTTGTTGTGGCGGCCTTCAGAATGCCGGCGTTTAACGATGTGACCATATGCATCACATCCCAAAGTCCATAGTATGTAGATTATTATGCATATGATTGTCAATTAGAATTTGGACAATCAACGAGGGTATTTCGGCGTCACTTTTGGTGATATGACTGGTCACCAAATACTGTGTGGGACTAACCGGGAAGTTTTGGCCGACTCCGGCGGTTTTGGGATGCCATACATAATGTACATACGTTAAAAAATGTTGTGTCGTTGTCACTAGTCTGAACTATGTATGGGTCGTTTCTAATAAAATTATAAGGTTCATGAAATTAGTCCATGGTGATCTCCATTTAGCTAAGAGAGTAATACGTTTTTGTCATTGCTAGGTCCAAACATTTACACTTCTCCATTGCGGCCCAATTTATTTTGGAATTCCTCATAAATCTAGGGATTTCAACTATGAATGTGGTGTGAATGTTGATTGTATCGTTCTTTAATATTATTATTATTATTACATTATTTATTAAAAAAAAGCAAACAAAGTGCGAGCCTCCACTAAACAAAATCCCTCCCCTCACTTTTTATCAAACCGGCCGCCATTTCCTTTTTCCACCACGGAGTGAAGCAGCAACGGAGAAAAAAAAACCCTCCCGTCGCAAATTGTGGGCTTGACTGTTGATATGCCTTATGATTGTTCGAGAAGGTGATTGGGTATGATTTTTCATGATTGATGTATTTGGATGTACAAGTGGGGAAATGTATATCCCATGGTGATATTTTGATGTTTTAGGAGGATGACTTGCACGAAAGTTATCTCGAGGAAGTGCAATTATACGACTCCTGTTTTACCTATGTTGAGCCAATTATGTGATTTGGTCTCATGGTCAATTACATATTAATTAGGGCTCCCCCATGCTATTAATTCGTTATGATATGTTATGTCACACCCCTGATGTGGTGTTGACCGTTGATTTTCATCATGAGATATGACCACACCCAGAGTGGTGTTGAGTCCGATGTGACCACACCTAGAGTGGTGTCAGGTCCGATATGACTATACCGACAGTGGTGGGTCCGATATGACCACATCCACGAGATGTTTTGTCCGTATTCCCGGGAGAGTAATTAGCATGGTAGTAGCCAGGCGCCTATGATTAAAACATGATAAGATGCATATGCATAAGCCAAAATGGTTGAGTCTTTTGCCTATTGGGATGTCAGATGGTTGAGGTCTCATCGTAGTGTTTTGGCGTGATTGTTAGATGTATGGTATAGGTATGCCTGTTATGAACTCACTATGCGATGATTATCTCACTCAGCTATGAGTCGGCCCTCTTTTATTCTTCTTCTCTGCTTATGCTATATGCAAGCAGATCATCAGCAGCAGCAGTAGATAAGTGTTAGGTGGGAGAGGAGTTAGAGTTGAAGTCAAGATGAGGTATGGTCTTCAACTATTATGTGCTTTGACTACTACTGGGGATTTTGGCCAGTGATCCACACCTTTTTTGTAAAAATGTCTTGAGAACGTTTTTCATGTGCATACTAGCTTCTGATGTAGTGTGAGATATCCACAGGTGTGGAAGGTTGATGATATGTGTATATTTGTGTAATTGTGTAGTTGTGATGATTATGGCATGTATAAGTATGGTATGCAGTTGTGGAGTATGAAAAATGTGAGTATGGCTACGAAAGCCAATGTATATGGTTGTGACTTGTGAGTATATATGTATGTCTATGAATGCATGTATTCGTATAAATTATTTTGTAGGTCTAGTTGCAAGAACTGTTAGCCCATTATGCGAGTATTTCATGTCGAAAATTTTATTTGGGTAAATTTTGGTAATTAATGTAACACCCGAGATTATTTCGGCTGTAAATGCATGAACAATATGATTAGGTAATACGTACATGGTAGGGTGTTACATATAAGAGAGGATTTGGTTCTCATCAATACAAATGGAGCTCAACTTGTGACCATGGTTGTCAAATACAGTTGTCGAGTACTATCGGTATGAGTCACCAAACGAGACGAAAAAGGGATCGATTTACATCTTCTATCAAAATCAAAAAAATTGGTCGATCTGACTAGATAGCTAGATTCCAACACTTTCACAAACATCTTCCAAAAATGTACACCAACATGGGGCTCAACCCAAGTTCATCATGTTCACTCCTTTCTATTGTACACCTATAGGCCGCCACATAGAATTTTGTGATACATATTAACCTTAAATATTGAACGATTTAAACTAGATTTTACATAAATGGTCATTGTAAACATTAATAAAATTCATTTTATACATATTATTTACTTTTCTATTTGTTTATTTGAGTTACTAATTCCTGAATATAAATGACTTTATGTGAATTAACTCTCTTAATTGCATTTTTCTAACTAATTCATTTTGTGTTAATTATTTTCTACTTTTTCTATATATTCTATTAAAACCGGCATAGTCGATTGTACCACTAATCATACCGTACCACTTAGCAATTGTCAATAAAATACTTCGTTAGCATAACAATCTGAACCAATCTAATAACTTCGCTTATGACCAATCATTTTCCGTTTTATGTGGCTTAGTGTCTCATCCTTTAATCATTAGGGCAAAAGTTTAATTCTCTGCGAGTAAACTTCATCCATGTGATCAATCATTTACCACTTTACGTGATTATTCGTGAAAATAGGAGTTAAGTCATTGTTGCTGCTCATCATGGAACCCTCGATGATACAATAAAAAACAAACAGGTTTATCATTTATCGTGTGATGGAAAATAGCTAAACCCAATAGCTAGTAGAGACACATTCAACAAACCATGTTGCCATGTTGAATTCCCCCACTAAAAGACCTATATGCAACTTCTAGCCTAGTCTTTTTTGTTTTCTCCAAAAGCAAAGTAAACTGAAGCCTGAAACTAACTAAAATAAGTAAATAACAAACTCCCTCCCCAAATAACTCTTGAGAAGAAATTGCAGGTCTCTTCCTTGCAGTTGTCATTCAACTATATTCAATCACGGGTTTGTCTATATTCAAATGACTGGAGGAAAATGCTTGGCTACTTTCCTACCCGACCTACAGGGCTTTCTTCCATCAAGTTAACACCGAAGATACGTATTTTCCGCCTTCAACTCGAGAAGGATACAATGTGCTTATAACTTCATGGTAAAAGCTCCATTCTGCATTCCCTTCAGCAATAGCCTTTTGACCAAATGGGTTTGTCTCAACAAACTTCTGTACATTCACCGCTTCAGATAACTGTTCAAGATATACTCTCAAGTCACCATCAGTACCTGCCATTCATTTCGATTCGGTTACAACTTAACAGCAAGCTAATCAACATTTCAATACAAAGTTGATCTGCAACTTACCTAGTGAGTTATCTTTGAGATCCTCATAACTGTAGGGATGAGGATGGATGCCAGAGTTAATCTGTGTTGTCATTTTATAAAGCGCCACAAAGGAAATAAGCATCAAGGAATATAGAGGCATCGATTATCAATTCATAATAAGTGGTTGGCAGTAAACATGAAGAATTCTATTCAACTTACAGGGTTAAGTAATGCTTTGTAAGGAGAATCATCCACTAACAACGTGTTTGATTCATTGAAGTACCCTTTCTCCCATGGAAGTTGAGGGTCCTCTTTATTCCAAACCTTCGTCAGTTCTTTGAACACCAGAGGTTTGTGCTTGTTCTCTAATGTCTTGAACTGTGTTGTTGTGCAATGGGACAGATCCTGAGAGAAGAACATCATACCATCAGTTAAATGGAAAGTACTAAATGGTTAAGTACTTAAAGCTTTTCAATGCCAATTTCAGGTCAACGCTAAAACAAGGCAAATTAGATTTGGTATACGAGGTAACCCTGAACACAAGAGTGAGAATGATATCTTCAACAACACTCACCCAACAAAATAACAAACGGTTCTTCATATCTCCAAACAAGTAATCAATCAGGATATTGATGTTCTTTCTGCAGAATGTTAAATTGATGAAAAAAATTACCATCGAAACAGTGAACATTAACAGGGAAGTAAGTACTAAGGAGCTGAATATGCGTTGGACATGCCTTGTTCTTGATGACCAGACAGCTACTTCAAATCTTTGATAGCAGAAATTGAGAAAATCCAGATAACCTGGCCTCACAAAAACTGATACAAGAAAAAGAAAGCATTGCAATTAGATGAAGCTGAAAGTACAACAGCATTTGTATTCTTCAACAACACACAAATACAATCTAGGACTTGACTGATACTCACATGATCGAATTCCAACCCGTTTGTCTGGAGTACGATCCTTTGGAGGACAAGTTACTACATCGACAAGAAGCCCATTCAAATCAAGAATAAGCAGCTTCTTCCTCCTAGAACATTGTGAAGGAAACCTTACATAAAATGGAAACATGATGGTTTCTTCAGAACCATCGACACTGCTCGTAGTTGCAGTGACTGCTGTTCCACTGTCCCCAATGTCATCAGAGAAACTTACAGCCGAGATACTTTTATTTATATCACAAATAGGCAGGCTGCCTGCTTCGACCTTTTCAGTAGCACTAGTACTATCAACATTTTCCGGATTCGTTGGTGTTTCCTTCCTTTCTACCACAACATGACTTATTTCTAACTCATCGTTAACTGTTTCCATATCTACTGTTTAAAGAATCAACAGCTATTATTTCAGTTCTCAAACATAAACTCTGCGCGTCTTAGCTGATAATGTAATCAGGCTGCCAAACTCTAATATACTTTCTGCATCAAGGAAAAACAACAAACGAATTGCAATCAATCACACTGTTATTGGAAGGCAGTACATAACAGACCTTTAAGGTTTCCATTGGAATCAACCCACCAAGTGAATTCAAATCAAAGTTAAACAGCCACTCTAGTTCTGTTCATGACCAAGTCCAAAATCCCATCCTAGGATTGGCTTGGCTTGGGCTAACAGGGAATTTGACGTTCAAGGCACAAGGCAACGATCTCAAGGAAAAAATAAGAACGAAACAACGATGGTGGCAAGAAAATCAGCTTCCTGGTCAACCATTTACCAGGCGGACCATAAAGGTTGAAACTTTACATCGAAAATCAGATCAGCAAGACTTCCAAATTTCATATTGCAGACTGGATCTACGAGGCAATAGCAGAGGCGAAGCTGGATTTGCTTTAATCCAAAATAACGCGCTGAAAGCGGATTACTCGATTGGGGAAAGAAACCGAATCCATATATCAATGGCATAGAGAAGTTAACTAGTTAAGTACACAAGTCGATACAATTCTAAAGCAAAGATAAGGGCTTTTTACCTCCAGCGTCGAAGAAAGGCCGAGGACAGAGCAACCCCACACAGAAAGCACGAACTCGAAATGGGAAGTTGGAAGGATGTTATTGGGTTTAAATTGGGATCCCACCTGCCTTCCTTAAAGAGGAAGGAATTAATATTGCTTTGCTGGGGGGGAATAGGAGTGACGACGGCTTTCCGTGCGGCGGCTGTTTGCTCTCTTTGTGTTCCTTTTCCTTGATTGGTTAGAATTTGGGAAATGAGTGTGTGTCGCTTGCGCTTGAGGTTTACAAGCCCTGACCTTTGTGATTCCCTTCACTTCCCCAAATCTGGAAAGCCAAACAATTTCAGGAACTGTAACGACGCACGCACCCGCGATTCCGAAAGTAGAATAGAATAGAATGAATCCGACACTGTAACAAGAATCCTCTGATTTGTCCTTTTTAACTGCCCAATGCCGCAATGCGGGCATGCCTCTGTATTCTGTAACCAGGTAACCCCAATAAATAGCAAGAGTCAACAAGGGAGACGGCGCCGTTTCAGTGGAATATAAGGCCCAAGGTTTCTTGAGAAACAAACGGGAATTCAGGAAATGAGATTTCCGAACCTTTTTGCTGCCCAGTTCCTGGCGCAAACGAGCAGGAGACGAGCTCCACGTTGCTCCAATGGCGGATCGAATCCGAGCTTGGAGATGTTTTTGGGGTGGAAGCAGTTCTTTGCCACTTGCAGAGAAGAGCCGGAAGAGCTCAAGGACTTCAGCGCCTATCTTGATTCACTCACCAATTACGAGAAATCGGGGGTTCCCAAGGACGCCGGTACCGATTCCGATGATGGGCTCGACCTGGGCAGAATGCGCCGGCTCATGACCCGCCTTGGTGATCCTCAATCCAAGTTCAAGGTTGGAACTTTTTTTTTTCTGGGTCTCTCGCTAGATTTAGCTACCTCTAGAAATGCAGAATACATCAGAACGGAATTTGACGAATGTCTTTAATAATAGGTCGTTCACATTGCTGGAACTAAAGGCAAAGGATCCACAGCAGCTTTTGTTTCCAACATTCTACGAGCACAAGGCTATTCCGTTGGTTGTTATACTAGGTAAGGTACAATTTCAGCTCAACAGCTGATGTATTCTTCGTCCCGTGTCGATTCTGAATTGCCTTTTTTTCTGAATGGTGATGTTGGTTAACGATTCGCAGTCCGCACATTATGAGTATAAGGGAAAGGATGACAGTTGGGAAATCTGGTGATCCAGTGGCATCAAAATCTTTGAATTGCCTCTTCCATAAGATAAAAGGGCAGCTTGATGAAGCTGTTCAGCTAGAAAATGGACTGCTGACTCATTTTGAGGTTGTGAAGTTTCGCTAAATTATTTGTTGTTCTGTCTTCCTGCTCGGATTTCTGACTCATTCGGGTGATTAATTGATCGTCAGATTCTCACAGCCACTGCATTTGCGTTGTTTGCTGAGGAGAAATCAGATATTGCTGTGATTGAGGTTTGTTGAATTTTCACAATTTGTTGTGTGGCAATGGTTAGACGATGGTGGCACAAGAAGTTTAATTTCAGTTTTGAAATGTCACAGGCTGGTTTAGGAGGTGCTCGGGATGCAACAAACATCCTTTCAAGCTCTGAGCTTGCAGCATCAGTCATTACAACAATTTGTGAGGAGCATTTGGATGCACTGGGAGGTTCTCTGGAGAGCATTGCAATGGCTAAGGCAGGAATCATTAAACACGGTGTCCCAGTTAGGTGAATTCTCCACTCCTTGTGTTAAAATGATCCTCAAGTGGACTTTATGCATGAGGATTTTCAGTTGTTGTCCTCTCTTTCTGAGTGTTTGATTTTCTCAGACGGTGCTTGGTGGCCCGTTTCTACCACATATAGAGCAGATTATTCGTGATAGAACATCACTGATGTACTCACCAGTGGTATCAGCATCTGATGCTGGAACCAGGTCCAGCATTAAAGGCCTCAGCATGTTGGACTGTAGACCCTGCCAAGTGAACGATCTCGTGATACAAGCTCAGGGAGATCTTCAGCTAGTATGCTCTTCTGCTGTAGTTTCTTTTAGTATGAATACTTGGCACCTTCAAAGATAGACTTTCACTGTTTTGGTTAGTTATCTTGGCAAGCTTGTACTTTTGATCCATGCAGTCCCTAGAGTTATCAGATGTCCACTTGCAAATGCTCGGAGAGCACCAGCTTCAAAATGCCGTGACTGCTGCATGTACCATACTGTGCCTCCGTAATCAAGGTTGTTGCTTTCAGATGATTTGAGGGATTAACTTCATGATTAAGACTGGAATTATTGTTATTCAAGTTGTGGTAAAATTAACTCTGCTTCTGAATGCTGGTTACGGTAAATACTGTTAATCTCCTCCACTTATTTATGTCTTTGATGTACATTTTAGGGTGGCAGGTTTCAGATAAATCAATTATGTCTGGTCTGGAGAATACACACTTACTTGGAAGAAGTCAGTTTCTATCATCCAAGGAAGCTGATGCGTTGGGGCTACACGGCACTACGATACTTGTTGATGGAGGTCAGTCCTTTGTGCTGTTTGTTATATTCGACATAAAGCTTCTCTGTCAAGCCTGAAACTGCAGCACTTTGGTTGAAAGCTTGAAAGTCCATTCTGATGTTTGTGCGTATGCTCCAGTGGACTCGGCAGTGATTCAAGTAGTATAATCAATAACTCAGCAAATGCTTTTTCTGACAGCTCACACCAAGGAATCAGCCAACTCTTTGATGGATACGATACAGATGGCATTTCCTGATGCTGAACTGGCCTTCATTGTTGCAATGGCCAGAGACAAAAACCATGTAGCATTCGCCAAAGAAATTCTCTCAGGTACATTGTATTGTAACCCAAGAGAAGTTACATTATCTGACTATTATGATTCTCCTTCAGCTTCAAGTTCTTTAACTGCGGGTTTGCACTCCTGTTGCACTTTTCTCTCCCCCAGCTAGAAGATTGGCTGCTGTGTTCTTAACAGAAGCTGAGATTGCTGGAGGAAAATCTCGTACAACATCAGCGGAGTGGCTGAGAGACCAATGGCTTCAAGCTTGTAAGGAAGTAGGCATAAAATCCGTGCAGGATATAGTGCCTGAAGAGCACCACCAAATGTGCAGCTCTGCCATGAGAGAATCAATGGAAAGCTCAACTCATTTGGTAGCAGAGAAATCACTGGCAGTTGCTGTGCAAGCTGCCGGGGGTATTCTCGGACGAAGAACAAGTGCAGGGAAGAAGAGGCCGGGTGTCGTAGTGATCACGGGGTCTCTGCATGCTGTTTCATCTGTACTGCGTTCTGTTCAGTAACCATTGCTTCAATGCTGGTGCCCTCAGTACGTTTCTTATGGAAGGCCGCCTTGCTTTGAAGCACAAGCCGGTTAGCTAGTTTTATTTTAAATGATCTTTTTGTTTGGATCCGTCATGTTCAAATTCAATATTATGAGCCGTTCTCTCGTCTAGTTTCATTGCAATACTAAACACTGATGGTTACTTGGCTACGAAGGAGGAAACCCCATCAGTTCATTAGGATATATATGAACTCAACCCATAATATCACCATAATGGTTTATTTCCACCAGAGGACACAGATTTGTTAAACAGAAATTGCAACAAATGAAGATTGATATTCTCAAACCACCCAAAAAAAAGAACTTATTAAACTTTGCAACCCCCTCTTAAACTGGAAAAATAAATTACAGAATTTGATATCTTTGGTACACAACCAATAACAGGGCATCATTGGCCTGAGGCTGCACAACCACATACGGCCAAGTTTCATCGTTACTCTTCAGCAAGGGAAGGCTCTGCTTCAGAAAAGTAATCATGCCTGAAAATGTGAAATGGCCAAGATCAAATGATTGAAGGATAGGAGCCAGTTCTTGATCGGTACTTCCGAGTGTATAACCACAGAAGTTAAGCTATGAAAATGGGAATGCAGCATTTTAGCCAACTTTTCCATCAGAAGGCAGGCTGAGCCATAAACTTACCGTAATTTACGCGACAGCTGATATATGCCTGTTCCAGCCATTGCCACATTTACGCTAAACAGATTCCAGTTTTTCTGAAAATACAGAAGAATTCTGAGATGATGAAGGAAGTACCAACTACTAAGACAGTGGCAAAACAAAATCATGTTAATGCTGTTTGGTTTAGAATCATGTCTTTGCTTTCTGGGAAACAATGAAGCATACTGAAAACTTCCGCTGCTTAAGGTTATTTTCAATGCAAATCAACCCAATCAAACGAAGTTATAATCCGCTGGCAAATGGCAATACATAAAAGAAGATAAACAAATCACAGCAGTGAAACAAACAAACAAATAATAGAACGCACATAACAGAACTTCGGAAGCAGTATTTCGCACTAAGTCCTCCTGGAGGTGCCATGGATAAACTCACCGGAGTGATAACTGTGCTGTAGCGAGACCATATGATTCCAGTACATGTTACAGCTGGAAAAATATGCATAACACAAGTGAGAGCAAGCAAAGTCAACCCATTTCATGTCAGTTTCCAACGAATGATAGTAAACCTATTAGTGGAAGAAGTATAGCATAGTGATGAGCAGAGTTGTATACCTATCTGCTGAGGATACGAAAGTTTCTCAGGAGGTTTAGCAAAGTCGGCAATATTTGCAATGCTGATCCCCCATTTGAACGTTGGAGCCCAAAAGTGGACTGTCAAAACCACAAACAAAGGTAAGTTACTGCAAAGGCCAGAGACTCTGATCAACGAAGTCAAAGCAAAGTAACAGGAACCCGTAGAAGTATAATTGAATGCCCCATTATATTTAACCATTGATGCAATGCTGACATATACAGATGGGATAATTCCCCTCTTTCCCCCATGGACCAATGGGGGAACCAACTACCCAGAAAGAGGTCCACCCAGCAGTGGCCGAACCCACCTGGATTACACACTTCCTGAGCTGATTTCATCCATTGATATACTTGGATAAGAAACTAGAAATCTAATTCTACCTGATCCAGTTCAGGGATAAAGGATGGGATGATAAAACATTAAAACACAAGAGGCCAACAGGGAAGAGCGGAACTGACTTGTTTTGGGTCCAGCAGGGTGATTCCAGAGAGCTTGTAGCTTGGAGGTCGCCGCCATCGTGTAGGGTAAATCAAAGTCCTCGCCTTGACGCACCACAGTGGATTCCCTTTGACTCCCGCCTCCCTCTTTTCTCGGTCGTTACTTCTCAATTGGTAAGGTCCTTTTCTCCTGCAGAAGGAATAAGGAAAGAAGGAAATCGGAAGGCAGCTCAATTCAGCAGAAGGCAGAAGAAACGGACGGCGACGGAAGGGAGGATCGGAGATGAAAGAGATTTCTGAACTGGTGAGGTCGAAGAGAATAAAGCGAGGTCTTTCCGTTTAAAGAAAGAACAGAAGGGGAGAAGACGAAGGAGACTAGGACAGGTGAGGGACGATGGATTGGGTTTGGGTTTGGGTGTGGTTGTTGGGACATCTTGTGGGCTGGGAAGATGGTGCGGTAAAGATGTGCGGGTTTTGGGCTGGAACTGATGGGCTAAGGATTTGGATTGATCAGATTTCTGAGCAACTAATAGAATTAGAGGCATGATATCGATCCAGCGACAAATAATTCAAATTAAAATAGGTAGATGATTGATATGGGTAGATCGAGGATAACATACTTCCTAAGCTGATTTCATCCATTGCTATAGCTACTAAGCTAAGTTTGTAGAAAAGTTAAAGCAATGTTATTGTTATGATACGTGTTAGTAAAGTTGGACTCATCTGATAAAAGTTTTTGATGGGTGTTAAATATTATAAAGACTTCATTTTACTCGTGAACGTGTTAATATCATCCCTCAAATTATTAACTTACTAGTAATGGACATTTTGTTCGATCATTCCCACTCATTTCACTAGTATATAAAAATGATGCATGTCGTTGAGCAAGGTTATGTGTACTATAAACACTATTATTAAGGCTGGACCAGGCTGGTCATTAGGAAAGGTGAATTTTACAACCGAACACAAATTCAACTCGGTTAACTTACATAACCGCCAGAACAAATTGAATATTTTTAAGCGAGGCATCCAATTAACCGGAGAAATCACTCGAACTACTAAAACAATTATGACCCATTTGTGAGTTGTGACCATTCCCATAATGACTGATTACTTATTGACGGTAAAAAAATTTCCGATTGAAAAAAAGACATGTATAAATTCCTTATTTATGAGTTGTTGATTTATGAAGTTCAAAAGTGAAGGTGCAACTTTGCCTAACCCTTGTCATCGAGCTCAAAGGGCCTTCCAACCGGTTGTCCGGCTAGACCGGGCCGGCGGAGGAGCATCCTAGTTACAGAGCTCGAAGCATTTGTTCGGGTTAACCCAATGTCCAGCATCACTTTATTGCCTCCACTAGGATTACAAGAACACGTTACCGAGCCCAGCAATGAATTTCCAACGCTGGTCGCTATTTTTAACACGGCAAATATATGCAGGTTGGCCGATGTGGTTCCATCCAAGAATAAACCAATATATAGTACATAAAGCCGTCGCTTGTTTATGTGAAAGGCAACATAAATAATTTCCCGCCGCACCACTGTCGGAGGGAGCAGGAACGCCACATCCGCGCCGGCGACGGCACAATGGAATGGTGGTTCCACAAAAGGATTCAGCGGCAGCTACTGAGATTTGGTCCCACTGGGTTGTCAAATTAATGGTGTGATGTGAATACTTAGAATCTGAAGCCTCATATATATACTTCGCAAACTGCTTATACTAAATTCAATGAAACCATCTTTGATAGTAATGAAACGGCATTGATCAACTATTTCACAGTATCATTTGTAATCTGTATGCAGCCACATTTTCGACGTAATAAGATTTATGTTTGAAATTCTTTTTCGCCTGAACTGATAAATTGTTTTTTTATGTGGTAACTAGAATCAATACCCGCGACTACGTCGCGGGAACTAAAGTTACAATTGCATGACCATATGGTGGCCAATTGAGGACACATCAATTTGGCGATAGTTGTGCTATTAGCAGACAACATCGAATAGCAATTTTCCTCTTAACCTAACGAATAGCCGAATAATAAATATACTTTAAGAGTTTCTTAAAGAACCATACTTATTGACATAGTTCTAGTTAGGAAGAGTTTCCTCATAAAACCTTACAAATCTCTTTTTAGTTCGACACCTGCATCTCTTAGGAAGAGTCTTCAAGTTCAACCTTCGACTTCTTCACCTATTCTTTCTTTGGTTTGTCAATCCATATGCAATCTTCACCTTTCTGCTAACCTCCTTGGCTTGCATAATCTCATTAACTCATAATCTCATGATTTCCTTTTTCATTACTGACCTACATGAATGAAGTTACTGTGTCTTTTTCATTATTTGAGCTTTGCTTTTGCCTCAGAGAAATGGAATTTAAGCAGCAAGGTTTTTTACCTTCTCTTTGGGGTCAGAAATTGCATCCTACGGCCGGGATTTCTTTTATGTTTGTCCAAAGGCAGCATACTCTTTAGGCACTTCCTCTCCATCTTTGCAGCTCCCAAGCACAGTAAAGACATAGTATTCAGGGTTGTGTTAATCGAATTACCTACAACACATGGAAGAAGATCAAGCATGGGACTCAGTATATGCATTGTTTAGAACTTACTATTATGTGTTCTTTATTTCAGCAAGAATTATCATCTTAAACTTGCTCACTCAGGTTGATCAGTTATGTAGGAAGTACCTAGTGGCCCACTCTAAGCAAATATAAAAGAACCCATTACCTTAAGCAGCGTAAGATTCAAATCATGCTCCTCTGAAACATGAAAAGGGAATCAATTTTATGGTTGCAAAGCAATATGTATGTAGCAACCAAAGAAGAAACGGTGTAAAATAAATGAAATATGCTGCCAAGCAAGCGGAGACCACATTTCACTGACCAATTAGAAATAAACATGGCAGACACTGATAAGAAATAAACATATGCGTGATTTAATTCTTTGGTATTGGATCTGTTATGAATGAGCAAATATCAATTATGTTTTGACTCAATACGAACATAAAATGGAAAGAGATACCTACTGGATTGTGAAGGTGTTCTCCCCACAATGCAAAACCATTTCCCCAAACGTATTTCTTACTCAAGTCCTTGCTTTTAGGAGCAGCAAAAGCACGTTTATACTACATCATGTAAAGGTAAGCAAAATGGAAAAGAGATTTTTGCCTCTAGTACTAAGATGTTCTCAGGCTTAAGGACTCGGAATATGATCCTCAACATGTACAGGTAGTCCAAAGCAAGGAAAACATCTGCAGCATAGAACCTGCACAAAGACACAGTAACTTCATTCATGTAGCTCAGTAATGAAAAAGGCAATCATGGGAAGAAGCAGAATGATATATAGCTCACTAAACTAATTTTGAGGTTGAATTAGAAGTTGAGATAACTAAGTTGGGGACTAATTCGAAGGAGAGAAATCAAGCAAGAAGAAGGGCATTGATTCTGAGAAGCTTCAGCTGGGGAAGGAAATATATGTCTGCAAATCTAACATAGTGATACAGAGAAAAGAAAACATGAACTATTGTGTTATGAACTTCCAGTGTATATTAAGTCCAATACATAATATAAGGGTGCTGTTTCAAAAACTATCAAGTTTATCAGGAAAAAAGGCAGTTTTTTACTATGCAGAGAAACAAAACAATTAAGAGTAAAGGATCTGAACAGGGCAGCATACTCAGGGAAGAACTTTCCAAGTTGCTTTTGCTTGAGGGAATGGTCACCACCAGGACAAAACTCCATCACAGTAGTCATCTGTTTAAGAGGCTGAGACCGAGATGTTGAGCAAGAGCTCAAAGGAGGGTTGTTGGGGACTTTAGGAACCAATGATTTCTTGTTGGTCTTTGTTGAAAGGCCAACTCCTCCATCATCAACCAATGACTCCATGGAAGGCGGAGCAGTAACTCAGAATTCAGAAACCAAAGCTGCAACAGAAAACACAAAGGGATTGATTGATTATATGAGATGGCAGAGCTTGCAGCCTTTAAACAGAAAGCACATACTGAGAATTTAGTGAAAACATACCGACAAGTGAAAGTCCGACAAAATCAGTCCAGAGCTCATCGAGCGTCTTCTATTCCTTCTCCTTCTCCGTGTTGTCTTTTTCAGCTTGTCATGCTGCTTCTTCTTCCACCAGTAAAACAAAGAGAGAGATGGGGAATGAGGTAGGGAAACGCTTCCAGGGTGGGAGTGGTATTCCGCGATGTCACTGTCTGGCGGATCATCCCCTTCATTCTTGTCGCCTACTGTCTCACCATGCTCCTCCTGTTCCAAAACGATCCGTCTTCATCCGCTTTCGAGTTCCACGACGGCCAGCAGCATGAGAAAAGAGGGGGATAAAAGGGGAAGCATACAATCGAAACCAAAAGGAGGAGCAGAGAGAGAACGGATCCAATTTCAATCCGACAGTAGGCATGAGGTTGATTGAAACCAGAGAATACAATACTTACCGTGCACAATGGAAGTCGTACAAAGAGGATGGTTTGTGTCGTGTCCAAGGAGCTGTACAAAGGCGGTAGCGTGCGCGAGGAAGAATGCGTGCGCCAAGAAGGCGAAGCATACAAAGTGTTCGGGTAGGTCGGTGCTCCCATACGCCACAACCCATGCCTACTACAGTCCTAGTCGTACTCCTCTGGAGAGACTGCTTTCCTTCTCTACCTCCATTAGGCTTTGGATCCTCTCTCTATTGGAGCCATGCTTTAATATTCAAGCTTGTCGATTCGCGTACGGAAAGAATGGGCTACGAATTGACCAAGTGAGGAGGAGGGAGGGCGTTGATTTGAGAGAGGCAAGCCGGCGGGACATGATTCGAAGCGAGGGAACAAAGTGGGTTGGAGGAGTTCTCAACTACTTGGGCGCTAGATGCCAAGAATTGAAACAGTGTTTAGAATCTCTGGGGGCGAAAAAGTGTACCCAGCTTTCATGTGTTAAAGAATTACTGAGGAGTGTCAATCTTTGTTTGAGAGATACCTAATTGAATCGTTACGCTCATCAATTAAAATGTATGATGAGTTTCTGTAAATCTAGTTTGACTTTTTACTTGACAAAACAAGAAAACAATGAATTCCATTTCTTTTGTTTAGCTATCTTCCTGCTAACTACTCGAGTGCATCAAGTAAATGATGGCCGGCCAGGCTTTATTAGACCAGCCACCACCAGTGACTGCCCACTTCACTTCGTTTGATGGAAATTAGCAGCAACAAACAACAAATAAATACTGATCATCAATTGTGGTTGCAGACTTGCAGCACATCAAAACGCCTGGAGTGGACCACATATATGTAGATCAGAATGTACATCAAACCGACACATATATATACATGTTTCTTAATCTGCGAATTAAAAAGAGGATCAAATCAAGCATGCTGAGGAAGAGTAATCTGAAAAGGAAGTTTCCGGCCAGGCCCAAGTTGGAGACTTGAAGCATGTGCAGGCAGAAGAATCATGGATTTAAAAAAAATAACGTCGCCCTTTAGCTTTTGCTGCTCACATTTTCCACCACAACTACTTGGTGTCTGTTCTCGTCGCGATTTATGTGTGTTGTCGAGAACTCGTAAAATTAGGGTACGATTTTATTATCTATCAGGATTAAGAGGTTCTAGAATCTAGAGCGATTCAATAGTCATGGATCGTGGAATCCAACTAGCAGTAACAGGTTTGGGACATTCTAATATTAATGAACGTTAGGACAATATATGCATTGGTAAAATAATACATTAGTGCTCTGATTGTGAATGTCTAGTATATATAGGTTCTGTAAAGTACCAAACCTAAAGTGTGGTCCTCTTTGAAAGGGGGTTTTTTTTTTTTTTTAATAAGTGTAGATTTATATTATAATCAAAGCTTAGGCATGTATAGAGTTCGATGCCTTTTTCCCTCCACCATGGTCACATGCTACATAGAGGAGAATAAACTAGCACTACTATGAAAGTGCCTCAAAAATATCCGAGAGGTGTGTTTACTGTACTGCCTAATTATAATGCTGCAGGTAATTAATTTGATTCCGTCAACTGTGAGAAATAACTAATTTTAATTCTAACAAAACCTGGGGTTTCTCTCTTCCTCACAAACTATCAGCTAAAGAGATAAATTAAAGTATCCACTACTCTAGCAATACACAGTGAACTACTCACGAGTACTATTACTAAACACAGAGATGTGACTCTATTAATTTAGGGGTGTCCAAATGCCCATAGATCCGCCACATCCTTCCGGGTAATGTGGATGTATTATTTTAGTTTTGTGGCATTTCGAATCAAAATGTTGCATTATTTTGTTATATATGGGTAGTGTGGATGTATTATTTTAGTTTTGTGGCATTTCGAATCAAAATGTTGCATTATTTTGTTATATATGTGGCATTTCATGTGGTATTTCAGTTTGGAATGTGGTATTTATTATAATTTTCTTGTTTGGATAAAACATTCAAATATGGTGGTATTTCACCACTTAAAGAAGGGATGAGGTGAAAAAAGAAGTTGAAAGATGAGTTATTTGAAATAACTAGGAGATGGGTAGATATTTCAAATAACTCACAATGAGTTATTTCAATTGTCTCATGGACAAAATAGGGTAAAATACATCGGTAACCACTTAAGTTTGAGAATTGGAGCAGACATACCACTTAAGTTTGAATAGAGTGTCTAATTTGATCTTCATAAATTTCGCGAGATGTCGGGTACCATTAAAGTCTCCAAAATGTGCATCCGTCTAGTTTTCCATCCAACTCAAAACTTTAATTATCTTTTGGTACCCAAACCTTTTTAAAACATCCAAAACTACATTTCAACAACTATTATCAAATATAAAAATTAGAAAACCTTCTAAACATAGTATTACTAGATGATTAATGAAACTTTTTCAATAAAATAGATAAATTAGTAAAAAATAGTAAGCGAATATCATGAAGGAATAATAAATATACTAGAAGATAATAATAAATATATAAAATCAATACTAGAAGATCTATTTAAACACCTAATACAATTAGAAGCGCCACTAAATATAGTTAAAATATAACCTAATTGACCATCAATACATCAAAACCAAAGAAGATCTATGTAAATTATAAAAATACAACATTTAGTAATAAATCTAGAAAAGAAAATATGAATATAAGAAGAGAATTAAAATTAGTAAATTTAACTAATATGAAACATCTACATAATATTAGAGAATTACGAAGAGATTTAATATAGAAAATTATACAAGATCAACATGATGTAAGAGAACTAAATATAGCATACTCATATTATTTATATCGAGACAGAATTCATAGGATATATTTGCTTAAGGAAATAATTCAATTATTAGAACACATAATGATAATTGATTCTAAATTTCTTATTGAAAAATTGGTTTGGTATAAAACAGAGTATTCGAAAAGATTATTCCAACTAAATAATAAAAAATAATATTTTTCATAAATCCAAAAGATTTTTTACAATAACAAAAAATAGAATGACCAATTCTAAAATTCAGAAACGGAATATTCCAAAATTATTCTGTCAACTTTAAAAGAATCCACTTGACAGTAAACTTTAGTGGTACCGGGTGCACATATAATAAAGTTTAGTGGCACCCGATGCCCTATTCTACTTAAGTAGTATAGCTTCCCCCAATTATCATACTTTAGTGGTACCCTGAGGTATTTTACCCCGTACAAAATACCACATTTCGTTCTATTTTTTGCCAAATGAGTTATTTTGGCCGAAATAACTCATCAAAATGATGCATCCAAACGACCCATTCATGTATTTTTAATCAATCAGAATCTTGGATCCTTATATCATTGTGCATTAGTTAATAAATCATGATAAAATATGAAGAATTAAGAATATAATGACTTAGAGTCGACTCGTAATTTGTGGATTAGATAGTATGTTGTAAATTTATCATATCAATTGATATGTTGAACCTATCTCATTGTCGAGTTTATATTCATAATTATATAAATGTTTTTGTAATCCTCACCTCTTGAACCAACTAGACCAAACTAAATTCTCAAAAATTTAGCTTTACAATGATTCAGTCATTCAACCTTTAAGATTAACTTTACAATTAAATAATACTAGGCATCCATTTGTGTTGGAAAATGCTTGCAATAATCAAATAAATAGACCAACATTTAATCCTATAATTAATTAATCGTTTGATTCCCTTGGGACCTTCTCCTTCAAGCCATCAATCCAAATTCCAAAGCGAGTCACCGAGTCAAATATATTCGCCTGAAATGAAACCGTTTCTTTTTTCCTCTCTAAAAAAGGTAGCTTTCCAGCAGCATAGCAACGTCTTCTTTCCTTCCCTTCCTCGCCAATTTCACACGATACTCTCACAGACCATTATATAGTTGTAGAAAGAAAGTTCCACATTTCTCAGGAAACTCCCACCAGCCACCGCCGCCCCAAAACCTTCACCAATTGCCAAATTCTTCAACTTTATGTCGCCGTGAGAAATGGGGAACTTGTGCACTTGCTTCGCCCCCAAGCCGGCGGTGAAAAGGGGACGATCGGTTAAGCGTCTCCCGGCCAATTCCTCATCCCAAACCGCTTCCAACCGGTGGACGAGGGTCCGATCCGCTAGAAAAGACAGTAATGATTCCTTAATTCAGGAACAGGCTCTGGCGGCAGCTCTGATGTTCAGGCAGCAGAACGGTGCCGGGGCAACGACGGCGGCGTTTGACCGTTCTGTTTCGCACAGGTACCCTAATGGTAATGCCGGGTCAAAGAAGAACCCGTTGCCCCGAAGCGCTAGCTCGAGAGCTCGGTCACTTACGGACCCTTTGTTGCAGCCTCACCAATTGGTTAACCAGGTAATTTAATTTACTTTCTTTCTGGGAGGAGTTTCTGTGTTCGGAGGAAGGTGGCAGAAGCCATCGGTAATTGTCTTCAGGCTATTGTTTTGTCGCTTTCTCTTCGTTGACCTTGTTATTGCCGAGAGTTAGGTGTGCCGGGCCACGGTTAGATGTGGGTTTTATGGAGCTCTCTATGATGTGTTCAATTGGGAGATGTGTATTGAATTCCATCCTGCCCTGTTTCTTCGGTTTGTGGGGTTCAGCTGAACTTGCTATTGAATGTGAAAGAACTTAGGACTAGAATTGATGAAATAAATGAACTGGGGGAGTTTGTTGTTCATTGCCCTCTGCTAAGTAGTTAATGGATGAAAATGGCTACTCTGGTCATTTGTATTGTTGTCAATAACTGATAAACTGATGATTGAACTTGTTTCTGGGGTAAGGTGCAAAAGTTGTATGGGCATTTTATAAGGAGTTAACTGTTAAGGACACATAGCTGCCTTCCTCAAGGTTCTACACCTAAAAGCTGTACATTGCAGGTCAAGATCCTAAAAAGTTGGCTACTTTGTTCACCTGTGATCAGACATCAGATAGCTACCGTGATTCTGGAAATAGTTTTTGATCTTACCTTATTTCGTAATATTTCTGGGGCAGTAATCAATGTGCAACTGCAACAGTTTGTAGTAGGACTACTAGGTTTAACTAGAAAGTTAGATAAGCCTCACAAGTCTTGTGAAGAGGGCAACCAAGAAACTCAGTTTACAGCTCAATGCCTGATCACCATGACTTTATTTCATTTTCTCCCCACGGACACTAATTTTGTGGCTGATTAAAGTTTCATGGGCAGTTGGTGTTTAGTGCTATACCGTATGTCAGCATCTTTCGATTTTCGTACTTCGCGCCTGCTGAATTGTTAGAATTTTGAACAGGATATTAAGCTTGATGATCTTGAGACAAAACATTTTGTCCTTGTACATGGCGGCGGTTTTGGTGCTTGGTGTTGGTACAAAACCATAGCCCTTCTGGAAGAGAGTGGTTTCACAGTTACGGCTGTCGACTTGACTGGTTCTGGGGTTCATTCTTTTGATACTAATGGCATCGCCAGTCTCTCTCAGTATGTGAAGCCGCTTACTGATTTTCTTGAAAAGCTTGCTGATGAGGAGAAGGTTCGTGCTTCTTCTTTCTTTCTCATTGGTTATGTATCTTCTCCTACTGTATTCTGATCATGTCTTAAAATATCGTCAAATATGTAGTCTTCATCTGTATTAAGCCAATTGCTGTTATTTACATTTCTCTCATTCAAATGAACTGTCTGAGTCAATGTGGTTATTCATTAAAATTGTTTCCTGGTTTAATATCTTGATATCTTCATTTCTTTTACTTGATACATCTTTGATCTGAGTAAGATGATAGCCTAGGTATAATGCTATTCTTTCTGAACTATGCAGGTGATCTTGGTAGGGCACGATTTTGGCGGTGCTTGCATCTCATATGCAATGGAGTTGTTTCCACACAAAATTTCAAAGGCTATTTTCCTAGCTGCAGCCATGTTAGTCGATGGACAAAGTATGCTTGACATGTTCTCCAAGCAGGTAATCCCCGAGTTACATTATTGAGTTTAGAATAGGAGGTGATGAACTTGTTTGAACATTTGTAACTTGAACAGACAAAGAAAAAGAATAGCAGTGATAGTATGCCATCTTTGAACTTTAAAGACCCTTATTTGCTATGTGTTATGCAATGCCATCTAGGAAACTCTGCTTCTAGAGGCATCAAGCTATGTCTATGCTAGTTAGGCTTCCGCTACTCTGCGACTAATAAAAGGGAGCTTTTCCAGTCAGGTGGAAATGATCTAATGCAAAAAACACAGATTTTTGTTTATGCAAATGGGAAAGATCATCCTCCGTCTGCCATTGATCTGGATAAGTCGTTGCTGCGGGACTTATTATTCAACCAAAGTCCTGCCAAGGTACATCTAAACCTTCGAAACAAGTGAATTTAGTTAGTATGACATTCTTGATTCTGCCCATTCTTTCTTTTCTGTTAGTGTGCTATGATTTTGAGACACTATTGTTTTCACCTACTATTCATCAGGACATTGCATTAGCCTCCGTGTCAATGAGGCTGATCCCATTTGCTCCAGTCCTGGAGAAACTCTGTCTCTCCGATGCCAAGCACGGGACTGTGCGACGGTTCTATATCGAAGCTCCAGAAGACAATGCTATACCTATCACCTTACAACAAACCATGATCAGCTCGAGTCCGCCGGAGAAGGTGTTCCGGTTGAAAGGTGCGGATCATTCACCTTTCTTCTCAAAGCCTCAAGCTTTGCACAAGATATTGGTAGAGATTTCGAAGATGAATAAAGCTTGAAAAAGAAATTAGAGAAAAGGGGAGTCCATGGGCATCGTTACTCATGTGCATATCATTATGTATAGTTGTTGATGGTGCCCCCATGTTTCTTCTCCCATCCTTACGCCTCCTTTTCTATTCTTTTCTTTTCTTTTTTCCCATCTCCAGTTTCTTTGGTTGTTCTTCATTTGTTATTGTTCACGGGACTTTGCAGTTACAAAAGGGTTCCCCTTCTTACTATCCCCAAGGGGATGATTTTGTTCATGCAAAGCCCATATAAAAGTTGGGGGGATAAAAGGATTATAGTTTATAGGTAAAGACATTCAAAGTGTATGGGATAGAATACTTGAATATCGTTCTTCCTACCTTCCTACGCAAAGATTATTTCAGTTAAAACTCTCATAACCGAATTGGTTGTTGAACTTGAACATGGACTTTATCAGCGGGATATCTCCAGTACACCCTTTGGTTGACGACCTAATGGAGGAATTTTAAACACAAGTTCCACAAGATTTTCATATCGAAGGCAATACAAATGACTTACCTTGTATGTTAAGAAAGTCCCTTTACATGCTTAAGTAGACCGGTATATAGTGGATAGTGGTTTGCTAAGTTAATTAGCTCACTCCTATGGAATGCCTTCTCAAACTCCATCCTCTAATTACACAAATATTTATCGTGTGGGTTCGATGTAGAATAGTAATCTTATTAGTTTATGTGGATAACATCATATTGGCTAGGTCACATATTCTGGATCTGGAAGTAGTTAAGTTTACTTGAAGTGAGATTTCATGATGGTCTTGGCAAGAGCCTAGGGTGCATTGCAATGTTTCCAAGGATCATACTTATCAAGAAATGAGAATGGGATTTCAGTTACTAAAAAGAAATGTTGTGTCAAATTGTTGATTGCCACTAGATATATAAAAGTAAGGAGTTGCAACAGAGTCATGATAATAATGCACTAGCCTCTGTCGTTCTTGCCCTATAAATCCTGACTATTAATAGATTCAGATGTTTTTATTCCTCACCTAACTTCTCCGGCAACGCAAGAGAAGGGTCACTTAGTATTCTAATCCACGGAGAGAATTGTTATTTGTTAATAAATAAAGCTAAAGTAGCATGGGAATATGAGTTAAGCCGGAATGTAGAGTTATTGAGGAACAACTAACCGTGTTGGGAAGTTCTGCAAGGACTATCAAGTATTTCAACAACTTACAAAATATTGTTACCAAACGATGCTCATATGTGCAAATGCAACAGCAGAGTGACAATGGCTAGATGAAGTAGCTCCACAAGCTTGTCTCTAGAAGTCGTATTCGAGCTCGACTTTTCGGAAGAGAGATATTCGTAATAGATGAATCTAATAGATGGCGGACGTCGAACAAAAAGGCATTAGAGATATAAGAGTATAAGTAGAACAAATAATATTATATGCTAGACTACAAATATTTTAATATAATTTAATTTAATTATCATATAAAAATATGAAGTTATACATAAAGGTTATCAATTGTATTTCAACTTTAAAGGTCAGCCAACCATTCAATCTCTTTGACTTGTTCAAATCTTAATTAAAATGGAGACTTAATTGGCTGGCTATTTGTTGCCAATGCTCATTTAGTGCTTTGTATAAACTAGTAAATCCAAGAAGGCTAGCTTTTTGCCCTTTCCTCATCTTTTCTCCCATTCTTGGGGGAATATTGGAAACCCAACAAAAGGAAAAAAAGGTACATGTGCTAACAATTGTTTAAAACAATCATTTGTTTATATCTAAAATATTTGAAATCTCATGTTCTTTGAAAAATCTCTATGTGTTTTTCACCTTTTTGTCATAAGAAAATTGTGTTCCCCTATATTTGATTGCATCTCATAATATATATTTTTTTTCTGTGAACACATGAACTTCATTTCTCGTGGTTGGAAGATTTATTGGATTTTATCTATTATCCAACTTCCAAAAAGGAGCTCATAATTTACTGTTGCAAGAAGTTTTGCTTTAGTATTTCATACATTATATGCTCAATATTTTTGTTTGAGGTTAATCAAAATTCGGTAAAGATATCTATATTTTTAGAGAAGATAGAATTTAACTTAATTAACATGCGAAGGGAAAGTATATATGGGAAATATAAAATAAATATATTGGTGCTTTATAAACAAGCATACATATTCGGAAAAAAGATCAACCCGTGGATTGTAGCCTAGCAACACACATTAAATTTTGCTTTGGTGGGATCGTAACATTGAAATTCAAGCATATTCTACATCATGATGTAATTAAAAAAAATATATATTATGTTAATCCGGGTGTGATTACGTTTCAGGTGATAAACCACACATAAGACAACTATTAGGATTGAACTTGATGATTGATTACACAAGCGATTATGCTAATTATGCCAAGCATGCAGTTTACATATTTAATCGCAATGTGACTAATTCCATAACACAAAATTGATCAGAAGGAAAAACATGGGCCGTGGAGTGAGCTATGGCGGCGGTCGGAGTTCTTTGGGATACTTGTTTGGTTCCGAGTCCGAGGGAGCTGGCCGGAGCCGGAGCAACAACTCTTCCTCTAGCTCCAATAGTTCCCCACCACCACCACCTACTACCAAAAAGGAAGAAACTACAAGAAGCCCAATGGCTCGTCGGAAAGAAAACAGTAGCAGCCCAATCAAGTGGGACGTCCAAGAAGCACCTCCGGCCCAACCACCACCTAGTACCAAAAAGGAGGAAACTACAATAAGCCCAGTGGCTCGTCGAAAAGAATTCAGTAGCAGCCCAATCAAGTGGGAAGTCGAAGAAGCACCTTCGACCCAACCTGGTCACTTGAAAAACAACTACTATAGGTCTGAAGGTCAGAATTGTGGTAACTTCATTACGGTAAGTAACGATATTACAAAATAAATTGATTGATTAATCTCTTTGATTACCAGATTACTGTTCTTAACGTTTGTTTGGGGTGTTGACTTGTTCGTGATATAGGACCGACCGACGACCAAGGTTCATGCTGCTCCAGGAGGAGGGTCCTCGTTAGGCTACCTATTCGGCGATCCTAACAAAAAATGATGTATTCTTGTCCAGAAAAATATGATTTGGTGGATGTGCTTATTGTATTTTGATTGTATACCTTGCGTCAGTTGATCTAAAATATGAAATTTAATGGCAAATGACAGAAAAACAATTGCGAATGTCAAGTCTATCTCATCCATTTATCTTGTTCCATTTTATCTATTTTTTTACATGATGATCTACTTAGTTAGGAAATGAATTTGTTCGATCATGGATCATTTAGTGCACTTTTGTATGACACATTCTCCTCAAAATAGCTCTAAGGGTTAGTTGCCATTGCATTGAGTAATGAATTCTAAGATTATAGATTTTAAATTTATCCAATTGTAAATCATTCCCTCTCGCCCCCTAATGATGATATTAATTAGAAATTGAAAACTTTGATAAATTATTTTTAACGTATATGCGTGGATTTCTTTGTGTCATGTATCAAAATTGAATGCAAGTCACTATTTATAACACAATACCATACTTATTATTGGTTCAGTCTAGCTTCAAATGTCCATAAAATAAAAAATCGAGACGTTCATCTAGACGACACTAAGTATCGACATTTAGAAGTTAAGAATTTATAATTATTGAATTACCACAACACCATTATCAACGATACTGTATTTCAAGACAATAACTGGATAATATCGTATAAAAGATCGGCAATTCAAATATTTTACATAAGTATCCATATTATATGTGACAAATAAAAGTATCTGTATTTGTATTAAACTAACACAAATACACAATACTATCATCATTCCATCAGCCAGCAGGTGGACATGGCAAACAAAAAAATTGATAAATTAGAAAAAACGAATTCACCTTTACGATTATCGGGGAAAAAAAGAATTCACCTATACGCCGCCGTTGGGGTCAAAGACGTAACTGCCCTCAGTCCTTATTGGTTGCCGCAGCTTCTGCGTCTGGTTACTGATACTAGCTAGGGTTTTTGGTTCGTCCCCGCTCTTCGCTTTCCCTCTTCCCCGTTCTCTGCATCGCCCGCACAAACGTCTACGGTGTCGGCGTTGCAGATATTCCCCTCCTCCGGCAATGGCTACCATCGTCCCAACCTCTGAAGAAGATCCCGCACTCGCAGTTGTCCGCTTCACCTCCGACCTTGCCTGGGCTGATGCTGGTCCCGAGGTACATTCACATCTATACAGCTATTTGTATGTACAAGCGTAATCGCAAACGCTTTTTATTCTAGCTTGTATCCGTGGGCGTCCTTAAATTCTTTGTTTGGGAAATTTGATTGGCTGGTGACTGGTCTCTCCTGAATCCATAATCCAATTCGTTAATTCAATTTTCTGCTGTTCTTAGTAGTCTATAATGTTGCCTATGCCTGCTGAGATGTTCGGATGGTTGCTGGCTTATGTCGTGAACTGTAAATCCTTCTTTATTTCGTGAATTTCATCCATTCTTAGGTAATGTTAGAAAACTGCAAAAAAATTTGAAGGGGGAATAATCCATTCGTAGCGTCCTGTACAGTTTTCTATTTAGTACTATCAGCTCTATTTTGCAGCCAGTAAAGGTAGTTGCTTGATCAATTATACCTTTCTTTACAGGTTGCGGAACCACAAGTTACCAGGCTTTGTATGGAGGCCCAGGAATGCATGGTGGTAGGAAGATGGTTGGACTTGGCTTCCTTGATGCTAACTTCAGCTGACTTGTTATTCTCCAATGCCAAGGTGTCAGAGAAAGGTGCAACTTTCTTCTTCTATGTAGTGTTATCAAATTCTACATTAGTTGTAATTGGACTTTGCAATTTTTGGGATGATACTAAAGGAGGTTAATTAGTAGACGCCTGGTCTAGTGTGTGTGGATGAACTTACTGTTCATGGTATCTGAACTTTGTATGAATCACGATGGCATCTATGAATCGTGCTTGAATTGTTGTGTTGATAACTTAGTGCCATATTCTGCTGGGAGAGTACTTAATTTCAAGCCTGCCAAGACTCTGCTTGAATTGTTGTGTTGATAACTTAGTGCAACTACGAATTCTTTGTAAGTTGCTCGGGAGTCATATCTATGAGGTGGGGAGTTCTGCGGGCAATAGATGACAGGGCCTCATGGACTTACTTGTCACTTCTCGTTTTTCCTGTCCTATCATTTCGACCTCTCTGGGTGCCCTTAAAAGTCAAATGGTTGCGCGATGTTGTGGTTTATATTAGGTAGCAGTCATATTAGAGGGTGTGCAAGTGTGTTGGTTCAGAATGCTTTTGTAAAAGAAGAAGCAATCATTTATATCAGAATACTTATCAATAGCTGCCCCATTTGCTTATTTCAATGACGAAGTATATGTTTCCGTCTTCCTTGTTCCAGACCTCGAATGCATCTTCACTGTTATTTGCAACCTTGTCACGAAGTCTCAAAACCCGAGTGAAGCTCTTGAGATGGCTAAGCTGATATCAGCAAAGATTGTTCAACAGCCAACTGAGAAGCCTACACTGCGCTTAAAGATGTATGTCAAGGTGTCATGTTGATTTGATAACACGTACTTTTTGTTGTTAGTATCTCATGAAAGACTACTTTTCAGCTTGTTCAATCTGTACAATCTTCTGGAGGATCCATATGCACGGTTCTCTGTCTATATGAAGGCCTTGACTTTAGCATTGAATGGGAAGGTTGCTGATCACATAATACCATCACTCAAGAAGATAGATGGTTTCTTGAAAGAATGGAATCTTGATGTCAAGGATAGGAGAGAGCTCTATCTTGCCATCTCTAATGCGCTCAAAGACAGTAAAAGGTACTGTGTTGCTGTCTGATATATATCACTTAACCATCTGGAGAAGTGTGATGTTTTGTTCATTTCTGGCCATGCTTCATTTTTTGTTGCAGCTCAGCTAAGGATGGCTTTAAATTCCTGACAAAGTATTTGGCAACTTTCTCCGGTGAGGATGCAATTGCGATTGCTGAAGCCAAGGAGGAAGCTGTCCATGCCATTATTGAATTTGTGAAAGCGCCTGACATGTTTCAGGTACAAATTGGGATGTTCATGCTGTTTAATGGGTTGATTATTTGTATAGTTCTCCGAATCACTTGAGTATAGAGAATAATGTCTGGTGTGATTTTATGCTGAGGCTTAACACCTTCACTATAAGTTTCATTTTGTATTTTCCACTTGTACCAAACACCATACTTCTTTTAATTTCTAGAGAAAAAATGGGCCCACTTGGTGGATACGGAAACGTTGCTTGCTTAAGGGATGCCATTATTAGAGCATTGCCAATATCAGGTTATTGTTTGAGGATTAGGTCTGAGTAAGCATGTGGCATAAAAGGGATGCAACTATTGAGGTTTAAAAGAGATATTGAACACCTCCTAAGGTCTAACTATGGGATAGACATTCAACTTTAAAGATGGTAAAGTTTAGTGTTGCACCTCATGGAACCTCAGTTTGTTTGAACATGTTTTGTTTAGTGTAACTATGTTTCATTCTTGACCTTTCCCAAATTCTGAAGTTTCTTACTGATCTTTTATACACTATGGTTTTGTGCTTCTGTTTAGCTTGTACGTGAATGTTTCTGAGCTTTATGTATATATATTTTTTTTTTGCATATAAATGCATGGGTTTAATCTTTATGGGGTTAAATTCATGTACCTTTTTGCAAGAACCTGTATGATAATATGATTCTTCATGGGCGGTTGCAGTGTGAGCTGTTAGATATGCCAGCTGTTGTGCAGTTGGAAAATGACGCCACTTATGCATTGGTATATCAACTACTGAAGATATTTTTAACTCAGAGGCTTGATTCCTATTTGGAGTTCCAAGATGCGAATACTGCCCTGCTAGAAACCTATAGTAAGATTTTAACTTCGCCTTAATCAAACAAGTGAAACCTGATTTTTGATCTTTGGGAAGTAAACTCAGTTCTAACTTATGAGTCTTTGTGTGCTCCAGACCTTGTTCACGAGGATTGTATAACAAAGATGAAGTTGATGTCATTAGTGGATCTCGCCTCAACCCCATCTAGGAAAATCCCATATGCTCTTATCAAGGATACTCTTCAGGTAAATCTGAATCGACCTATGACATTGTCCTCGACCAAGTTTTATGCTTGACCTGGTTTTCTAATTCTTCTGCTTCACGTCATTCCAGGTTAGTGATGATGAGGTAGAATTATGGGTAGTAAAGGCAATAACTGCCAAGCTGATTGACTGTAAAATGGACCAGATGAATCAAGTGGTGCTCGTGAGGTATTTATCTTTAATTTTTATATGTTATACGCACAATTTCACTATTGCCTGTTAGTCTTCAACTCTTTCGGTACATATGCAGCCGCTGCAGTGAGCGCGTCTTTGGGCAGCACCAGTGGCAAGAACTTAGGGAGAAGCTTGCAACTTGGAGGGTAATAACAAAAAATGCTCGTGTCCTACATTTCCGAGTCTCTCTTCTTGACGTTTTGCTAGTCGTCACTGTCAGGTGCTAGTGGCTTATGAGATTACATGTGCAATTTTTTGCAGGAAAATATTGCGAGTGTGATAAATACCATCCAAGCTAACAAGATAGTTGAAGATGGAGTGCAACAGGCAGCGCAAGGCGTGGCAACTCGGTAGGGAGACACTAGAAAACTTGGGGTTTTGAGATGTTGGATCTTGTTTTTTATTCAGACATGGTTGGAAAGGGGAGCTTAAGATTTTCAATTCGGCCATCATACTGAAAGTGTTGGAGCAAAATTTTGATGCTGTAGTCGTTGCTGTTCTGTTTGAGAAATAACAATTTCAGGACTTAGTTGGATCATTTGTATTGTATGTATCACCTGTCGATCATTTAACGTCTCTATCGATCCCTAACGTTTGTCACCAGCCGTATGATTCCCAACATAAATCCTCTTGTAGTGATATATTGAGAACAATTTGTAGTATAGCAGAAGTGACATTTACTCATACGTGGAAGTGAGTCAGCTCATGTCACTGATTGGTGATATTGGAGCCAACATCATTTGACATGGCAAATTGGCAATATTCGAATAGGACATTCAAGGTTCCTAGGCCCTAGCTATTCAAAGACCTTCAAGAGTTCCATCTAGCTATACATTCGCCAGTGTCACGGTCCATTGCACAACTATACATTACTCTCCACGAGGATACTTCATATACATGGAGGAAAAGGATTGTGTTTCCAATGATCTTGCCAACTCAAGGAAATACTTGTATGGTTTCATATTTGAGATCACTAGGGCGATGATGAGGAAGTAGACGCTGAGGAGGATACTTGCCCTTGGTGTAACTGTCTCCTCACAAGTGCAGTGTAGATGCCATCATTATCGAGTAAGAGTTCATTGTGTGTCCCCCTCTCTGCGATCTGGCCTTCTGATATCACCGCCACACTGTCTGCACTTTTCACTGTCGAAAGTCGATGTGCTATCACAAGCACTGTCC